GCCAACAGAGGCAGCTAAGGAATGCTGGCTGTTCAGGGGCCTGAAGGTAGCCCAAAGTAAACTGTGATCTGGCTCTGTACCGGCAACATTCCAACCTTCCCACACTGCTGCTGTCCCAGTGAGTCAACCTACCTTTGCAAACACAGCCTTCCAGGAAATCTCATGCACAACACGCATGCGCGCGCGCGCACACGTGCGCGCGCACACACACACACACACACACACACACACACACACACACACACACACACACCACACGTACTGTCACATCCAAAGGCATGATCAGGGTGGCTGAGGAGAAGCTGGATGTGGTCCATGTGGTCAGGTTGCCTGGGAGAAGAAGCCTGAATGGAGTTCCATAGACAGCTAGTCATTAGCCTCTCCCTGGGAGCAGTGGGAGGCGGGCAGCAACCCCTCCCACATCTGTCCAGTAGCATCCACCAGTTTCTGTGTGACGTCGCTGCCTGTGTACTTGGGTGATGTGCACTGCTGACTCGTGGGGACCAGGATGAGCAGATACACCACACTGTTAGCTTTGGGGGTTCAGGTGGGGGTGATAGCAAGAGATATCTCAGTGTTTTGGGCGGAGAGACCTCAGGTAGTCAAGGGCTAACTAACTCAGGCCTGCCCTGGCTGGACTGTGGTTTCTCTCAGTTTTATTGGAACAACACTCCTTCTGGAGATCCTGGGCACCTATGATGTGCTGGACACCAAGTGGGGTGATAGCCATAGCTGTCAGTGTCATACCCTTAGGATGATGTCCAAGTGTTCTAGACATCCGTGTGCTCTGTCATGCACAAAATTGGCATGGTCATAGGAGCTGCCCCTGCTGCTGCTAGCTCTTATTGCTGTGGTCCTTACGGCAGGAAACTTTGGGACCTTGGGCCCAGCCTTTTGGAAAATTGGCTTCAGAAGACCTGATCAGCAGTCATGTCATGGTCAGGAAGCCTGGGTGGCCATAATGAGTGCCTACCTCAGGCCTCACTAGAGACTTCTCCCTCCAGCCCTTTACATGGGGACTCATGAAGGTCACCAGCGCAGTGACTGCTCTGCTCTGCCACACTGCTGACTGTTCATTCCCTGCAGTCTAGTAGCCAATGCCCCTGAACGCCCCAAAGTCATTTGCATCGATGAACAGCCTCCCTCAAGGCCTGATCATTTCAACCAGAGGCAGGGCTGTGGGGCCTGCTGGAATATGTGACCACTTTTGAGATGAGGGCCAAGGCGGGGTGGGGGGTGGGGGTGGGCTGGGGTGGGGAAACACCTCACCGTTCCCTCCTCCATGTTCCAAGGGGTGCCCTCCTCTCTCCAGGCATCTCCCCCGAATGCTGGCAGATCTCAGGCTGCAGATCTGAAGGAAGCAGTATGCTGGCCTAGACAAGGACTAGACAGATGCTGTGCGCACCTCACCCCGTGCGTCCGTGCTTTTTGGAAAGAGGTTGGACATGTTTCCTTGTCCCCACAAACAGCTCTCTGTGCCCCCTCCCTATGCCCCCTACATCCCTCTGAATCTTGAACACCAGCCTAGAAGGGGACCCCCAGTCCATCTCTCTGGGATGGAATGCACCCGGACAGATGTGTTCTTTGGAGACTGTCATTTAGAGCTGCACAGATGCTCATGCATTCAGGTGTGTAAAAACAATGCCAGAGGAATGATTTAATGCCCTCCCCCTTCCCCTCCCTCCCCCTCCTCCCTCCTCCCTCCTCCCTCCTCCCTCCTCTGCCTCTCTCTCTTGGCTCCCCCTCCACTATCCCAGTACACCCTCTGGCCTCTTCCACCTTCCAAACAGACTCTGATGGTGTCTGGTTCCAGCCCAAGCACTGTCACCAACTTTCATGTCCCAGAGTGAGTTACTTAACTTCTTCGAGCATCTTGTGCCTCGGTCCCGCCCTGGATGGTTCCCACCTCCATGCTTCTCCTTGGCAGCTCCGAAGGGGAGGATGGGATGGGAGGTCTCTGCACCCTTCTTTATACGGTCCTACTCCCATCCCTGCTAAGGGTAGCTCCCGAGGGGCAGGAAACTCTGGGAATGTTTCCCACCTCCACCTGGTCCCCTCACTGTGTTCTCACCCAGTCACAGGATCCCTAGTGGGAGGGGGTGCTGAGCCTGGGAGCTCCAGACCCTGTTTGTCTTTTCTGCATATCTGGCCTATAGTCTAGTCTTTCAGGTACTAACCCCAACACCCTCCACTTCGCCTCTCTCAGCCCTCACCCACTCACTCTGTGCTTCCAATTTTGAGTGTTCTCAAAGCATCCAACACTGTGCTGGTGCTGGAGCATTGTCCCCTCCTGGAGGGACCACAGCCAGCCGTGGTCACACTGAGGTACTCAGCCTGACATTTGTTCTCTCTTTCCCTGTCTCACTCATTTCCTCCCTCCTCTCTTCCTTTATCCCATTACTGTAATAGCAGAGCTAAGGACAGGGCAGTGCAGCCCTTGCCTGCAGATTCTGTTGCTAAGGAAACCACTTCCTTGGTTACCAGCCCGGGTACATTTGTCTCATGATGCCTGGATCCCACAGAGTCACCCCCCACTCTGCAGGATGAGGAGACGAGGAGACGGGGTGGGAGAGAGGGAGGAAGGGAAGGAGAGAGGACTTGAGAGCTTCAGGATCAAGGGGTAGAGATGGAGAGACACTTGCAACAACAATGCAGGGACCAAGACAAGCTGATGGTGAGAGGGGCAGAGGGAGGCAGAGGGGCAGTAAGGGGTAGATGGAGAAGAAAGAGGCACCCTGGGGAAGCTGGAGGAAGTCAGACCTCAAAGAGGAAAACCATGGCTGTAAGGAAAACAATGAGGAGGAGGAGGAAGAGGAGGAGGAGGAGGAGGAGGAGGAGGAGGAGGAGGAGGAGGAAGAAAACAAAAGAGAGACACAAAGGAAGGAGGACAGGCCTGTGCCAGGTCCCCTTTGGGGGACTTCCCTCATCCCCTTGCCTCTCCTCTTCCCTTCCACACTGGATGTGGCCAGCCGCCTCCGGGGCGCCTGGGAGAACCTGGAATTGATTCCAATAATCAACCTTATTCTACTTGCGTCTGGGAGCTACTATGGGAAGACAGCAGGATCCAGCTTGGAGGCTCCCTGCCCTCCCACACTGGGATCACTGGGGCCCACAGCTATTTTTCATGTTGCTTTCCACAGTGAGAGCCTTGGCTCTGAAATTAAGCAGTGTCTACAGCTCACAGGGGTCACCAGGGGCCTTACTATCCTTTTCCCCAAATGCTTTCTGATTCCTGAGATGTCTGCTGGGTCCTTGGTAAGATGTGAATTCTGAAGGGATGGGGACTTTTTAAACCCTTTTTTTTAGACTCCAAAAGAGGGTGAAGGGTCTTTCATGCTGACCATACATACTTACAAAGTATGTGTGAGTGAGTGGTCAAAAGAATGCTGCTTCAGTTCCTCCTACGTCTGAAATGATTTGACTACAAATGGCCACAGGAAGGGCAGCCATGGGCTGTGATAGGTGCTTCAGCCTAGCTTCACCCCTGGCCATGGCCTGGAGCATCAGGGAGGAGCAGGAGATGGATGCAGCAGATTCCTTGTGAGCCTGAGACAAGAATCCTGGCCAGCTAGATGCCACATGGCTCCCTCACTGGGAGTGGGTGTGTGGAGGTGACCTCAGGGACATAGATGGGTTCAAAGCAAGCCAACATACTGGTTCAGGACTAGGCCGACAGGACTAGTCAAGCCTTGATGTAAATAACACATCAGGGCCCACATGTCTGAGATAAAGACTCCTCCCAAGCCATGACTGGTTTAGTCAGCACCTAGTCAGTCAGGACACAGATTAAGGACCGTCAAGAGACATCAATGACATATTTTGGAGTAGGCCAGGAATCGGCCTGGGAACATGGTTAGGGTGGCCAAATAGCTAGGATCAGGGCTCAGTATGCATAAGACCAGTCTTGGGACTCAGTCATTGTGGACTTAGGATAAGGATTAGGGCTAGTCTAAGACTGATCATGGATTGGCGTATGAATATGATCATATAAGCTGTATCAGAACTTAGCTGTGACCCAGGTTCAAGGGTCTAAGATAGGGTGACCCAGGTTCAAGGGTCTAGGATTGGGTGACCTAGGTTCAAGGGTGTCAGTTTGGGTGACCTATGTTCAAGGTCTCAGTTTGGGTGACCCAGGTTCAAGGGTCTCAGTTTGGGCAACCCAGGTTCAAGGGTCTAGGCTTGGTTGACTCAGGTTCAAAAATCTAGGATTGGGTGACCCAGGTTCAAAGGTCTAGGACTGGGTGGCCTAAATTCAAGAGTCTATGACTGAGTGAATCTGTGACAGGTCAGTTGGTTGAAGACTGAGATCTGAGTCACCCCTGACCCTGATGAATTCAGTGACCAGGATGATTTTCATGGGCAGCGTTCCCTCCCCCAATGACGTTACCATTGGAGTCCTTCTTGCTCCTGTGTTGGTGGCCCAGGACTCTGATGGGGTGAGTCCCCTCCCTGCCTTTTCCCTGCCTTTCTCAGCTGCCCCTCCCCCTCACTACCAACAAAGCAACACTGAAGCCCTTTCTCCCTCTGGCTGGGAAAGTCTCCGGCCACAGCTTTCCCCACAGAGCTGCAGTCTGGTGTGTGAGAAGCCAGGGTAGAGGTTTGGAAACCACAAGGGCAACCACAGGACCCCTGGGTGTCAGAGAGACTTCCCTGTGTCTCTACATTGTCACTGGCTTCCCTAGTCACACGGGGTCTCTGTCACTCACATACACAGAAGAAATACCTCCCATGGATGCCCTCTTCCACATCTGTGCATAAACCCAGAGAATTCCATACCTCAGTAGTCCTCCCCTGGACATTCTCCTCTCTCTCTCTCTCTCTCTCTCTTTCTCTCTCTCTCTCTCTCTCTCTCTCTCTCTCTCTCTCTCTCTCTCTCTCTCTCTCTCTCTCTCTCTCTCTGTGTGTGTGTGTGTGTGTGTGTGTGTGTGTGTGTGTGTGTGAGACACACACCAAGAAAACACCCCCTTTGATAACTCACCATCTACAACAGGGCCACTTGGTAGAATTAGCAACAAAACTCTTTTTAATGATAGTGTTGACCTGAGGAATCTTGGGACTGGAAGTTCGTGACCAGAGGTGGCCACGAGCAAGGAACCGGCCCGGGTTCTGGACCCAGAGAGAACTGACCTCCTCACAGGAGGGGAGACCCGATCATCTACTACCCAGTGAAAGAAAACTAGAAATCAGCCTGGGGGGAAGAAACACCATACAAAATACATTCAGAGCCCCCTGGCTGAGCCCTGGGGTGGTCCGCACCCTCCGGATGAGGGCATCGGAGAAGGGAATCAGGTACAGTTTCTGGCCCTTCTTTTTGCGCAGCCAGTGTCCAAGGGGCAGAATGTCTTGGTCATATTCCTCTTAAAAAAATAGAATCTCTTTTCATGAACCTTCTCCAGGGTTCCTTGGCTAGGTGGGAACGAGTGTTTGTTTGCCTGGCCCTCCCACCAAGGTTGCGGGGGCTGCTCTGGACAGAAGAGCGAGGGGGTTGTGACTATGGCTTTTGTGTCTATGCGATGGGAATGGTAGGCTGGAGGGGAAGCCACAGGGATCCAAGGTGGGAAGATGGGACCCTGGATGCAAGCTTCTGAAAACATGATCGGTGACTCAAGTCAGAAATCCTTTGGTTTGGTGTCTCAGCCTCGAGAGAACAGTGGTGCGATGGAGAGCCATTCATTATCCCGTTTCTAAGGAGTTCCCGGGGGAACTGGCTCTGTTGGGCAAGGGAAGGGGGCTGATGTCTTGGCAGGTAGGGGGATTTTGAGTGTGGCTCCTTCTGAGTTGGAGCACTTTTCGTTCCCTCCCCTGGGTAGTAAAGGACTCCCTGGTTAAGGGCTCAGGAGGGCAGTGTAAGATAGACATGCTGGACCCCACCCTAAAAAGATGAGTCATTGGGGCTCCGTATGTGGCACAAGGCCAACCTGTTGGGTTGGTTTTTGGTACCTAAGGGACTTTGGAAGAAGGATCAAGAAACCCAAAGTCACCCCCACCCCAAGACACCGCATGGGTAGAAAGGACAGAATTCCAGCCCTAGAGACAGAACAGCACCCAGCTTGGATCTCACATGTGGTTTAGCCTGGGGGCAGCTTCCACGGTGGTGCCAAGGCACCACCTCAGAAGTCACACTCCTAAGGCCACAGAGACAGGTCCCAGCCATCTGTCTGTCACACAGCAGTGGCCTGAGAGAGATCAGAAAGCCAGTGCTTGCTCAGGGGAAGATACAGGGGCCCACACAGTCAGCTGCAGGGTCACTGTGTATAAATGTCCATCAGCTGTCATATCCAGAACCGTACAACCACTGCCATCTCCATGGTAAATGTCTCTCCTTTCCCCTCAACAGCAGGCACAGGGACTCCCCAAACCAGGCAGCCAGGGGAAGGTGCCTGGATGTCTCCTCCCCAAGCCTTGGAGGAGCCTCTCTGAAAACAGGCAGAAGCCTGGGGTTGTCATCATGCCAGAGGGAAGCCAGCTCTTTGGAGCCACGGGGGATGCTGGATCCCTCCCTGGCCATCCATCATCTTGGGCCGTAGGCATCGGGCACCCCGGTAAGGTTGCGACTGCGCAGCGCCGAGTCCACCATCCTGATGTAGGTGGCGATGGTCCTGCGCATCTCAGCCGTGTACGGGTCGTACTCCAGCTTGCGGAGCCCCGAGCGCTTGAAGTTGCCATCCTTCTGGCTCTCCACACACAGTAGCCGGTCTTCCCTGACCGCCACGCCCAGCAGGCTGACCATCCGGCCCAGCTGTGCAAAGAGGTCCTGCTTTAGATCCTCGAAGTGCACCACCAGTACCGTCTTGCCAAACTTGAGCCAGTCCAGTGTGTGCGTGGCCCACCACGGAGCATAGTTCCTCACGAACTCAGGCCACTCTGTGGAGATAGCAGGGGGTCAGCACAGCACCAGATGGGCAGATAACACATACCTGACTGGTGCTCGGATCAATCCAGGCACAACCCTATATACAAAAACAAACAAACAAACAAACAAACAAAAAAACACAGCATATAAATATATACTACCAATACTTGAAGGTATGGACATAAGAGATGCAGCATTATACAGGAAGGGCTGGGAAGTAGACGCTTGCTTGCTTAGAATGCTGGAGGCTCCAGATTTGATCTTGGGAACCAGAACTCTTGGAGAGAAGCTATACCATGGAGAGGTTGGGATGTTGCATGTCCAGGGGCAAATTACCTTACCCTGGGCTAGTTCTAGCCCTTTGAAACCCCCATTCCTTGCCTGCCTCTGTGTCAGAACTAACATCCCCTGACTAGTGGATAGAAAGCCTTTGGAATCTATTAACTTAGTAGATCACTAGCTTCCATCCATCCAAATGCTAAGACTTCTCCCAGCTTCTTAGGACTATAGAAAAGCTCCCCCCATCTTGCTGTACCTGTCTCTCTGATGTACCTGCTAATGCATTTTAAATTTGCCTTGGTTTATGACATTATTTGTCTTGTAAAACTACAAAAAGTTCATGAAACTGCACCTACATTGGAACATGGAATCTGAAGTAACCTAAACCTGTGTTTCCTGGCCATGGTCACTCAAAAGGGTTCCCAAGTAAATTATCTCTCTCTCTCTCTCTCTCTCTCTCTCTCTCTCTCTCTCTCTCTCTCTCTCTCTCTCTCTCTCTGTGTGTGTGTGTGTGTGTGTGTGTGTGTGTGGACAGATATAATGACGCGTGTGGGCTTCTAAAAACTTTCATTTTTTGAGGGAGGAATGGCTTGAATGGATGCCAGGTACCTGCATGGGTTCACTGAATGCCGCCATCTGGTGTTATTTCCTCAGGGGGATCGTTGGTGAGCCTTTGCCAGGGCTCAGAAAGTCCCTTGGATTTGTGGAGAGTCTATTTGTCTATCCTGAGCTGGCTAACAGAAGTCCTTTGATAGGAATCTTTCCTTCTGCTTTCAAAGTATTTGTTTTAGGGTTATCAGTTTGTTTGAAAGCACTTTGTTGTACCATTTGGTTTGGTTTGCTTGCTTTGCATCTAGAACTCTAAAGATTCTGTTATTTCACTTGTTTTCAGTATTTTGTTTGTTTCAGGGACTTTGAAGGCATTTTGGGTTCTGCTTTGTCTTGGTTTTCCTTGTCTTTGAAACTTTTTTACTTACTAGCACTTGACCTTTGCTTCCTGACATCTGACCTTTGCTTCTTGCCGCTCCCCAAATGCTTAATTCTGCTTTTCTTTTTTTTTTTTTTCTTCTGCTTCTCCTGTGACCTTGTCAAACCTTTAGCTTAGGAATTTTATGATCATCTGACGATAAAGATGCTGAAAACAAGAGGTACTTGTTCCCTCCCACCCCAAACCACCCCAAAGTGTGGCGGTGTCAGGGGGGGATGCCTCACTGTGCAATGGCCTGACATGCCCCATTCTGGGGTCAGAAGATGCTTCATCGTCTCCTCCATCTGGGAAGACACTTGTGTGGGTTTGTTCACCCAGTGTCTTGAGCTCCCTCGTGTTTGTGCAAACATGTAAGGAAAACCAAAGACCCAGCAAGAGAAGATGGAAAAAGGCGATGCCAAAAGCAGCGTATAGAACTGACCAAACCCCACCACGTATCCCCTAGCTAGCACAGAGGGGAGTTTTCAGGAGAACAGGAAAAAGAAAGAGAAAAAATATATACAAGCACGGGCAAGGTTTCCAAACAGGAGGAACTGCCTGGAGGTAAACGGCCATCTGGCTCTGGGAGTGATAATTGCTAACTAACTTGCAAGTGTTTGGAAAAAAACTAAAGATAACCCAGACAGTTACCACCTCCAAAGTAGTGGGGCAATAAAGTCCTAGGCAAAAAAAAAAACAACAACAACAAAAAAAACAAAAACAAAAACAAAAAAACACAAGCAGGCTTCAACTAAGATGTAAAATGATCTTCTCCCCAGACTGATCAAATTGGTGATTTACAACAGAGCTCTTAAAGCCACGTGGGTTAAATTAGGTGGTAAGATAAAAACTTAATGAAAAATTTTGGGAGGTTTATGACAGAATAAAGGTAAGTTCTAAGATCACTCTTCCTCTCCCCCCTCCTCTTTTCTCTGTCCTCTCTGGCCTGCTTCTTTGCTGCCTCCTGGTTACCCTTTTTTAAAAAAAGCAGCTTGTTTTCCTTTAACTCTCACACTTACATTAAAGAGTATCAGCCAGCTCTAAAATTCCTTCCAGCTTTAAAACCCCCATATATCAGCTTGGCCTTAGTTTAGGGGAACCCCTCAGGCTATTAAAGATAACCGAACAAATCTGTCCATGTCCCCTCTCCAGCATTCCTGGGGATTTATGCCGACATCTTCAAGCATCTTGGGGAGTTTCCCTGTTCGCTCTCCTGACCTGCTGACCGTCCTACATACAGGGTTCTGCGTCCCTTTTATCTAACAAGAAACTCTTTAGATGTCTGAGCACCACTGACACCAACAGGAGGCATTTCCCAGATCCAGCCAGCTCTGCTCCTGGGTCAGATGTAGTAGCTCGTGGCTTATCTGGGGAACATCATCCTAAAAACTGATCCCCTGACAGACATGAAGGTATTGCCAAGAGACACGTGTGTGTCTCAGTTCGACTATCAGACTGTTGAAGCGATGGACCCTCAGGATATAGGAGTTCCCCCAGGAATCTCATGCTGGGAGAGGGAAGGCAGCCAGCTGGAGGGGGACCTTGTCTCCCTGAAAGAGATTTTAAACGGTTCTAGCTCAACTACCTTAGAGGACAAGACTGAAGCCCGGGCGATGATTCCACCTCGACCAGGACTGATCAGTGTTGCATAACCCTGCCTTCTAAACTCTGATCTCACTTCAGGTCCCTGAAGACAAAGATGAGGGGGTTGCTGGATGATTTTGTCCCCCTTCCCCGTGTGGCTACATTGACCAAATCTCCTTTTTGTGAGTTCCCCCTTACACTCGGCTCTTTTAATGGTCCCCAGTCTTTCTTTGGGACAACTAACATGAGTTTTTAGATGGAAAAAATGAAATGAATCTGCGTTTAAGAGCAAGATACAATTCTGATGAAGATGCCATCTCCTGATGATCCTTATCCCCTTCTGGTTTACAACAGGTCCCCTGTCCCTTGAGGGTATAAAGTAACCATTGCTCCGACTCTAGCATGTTTTCCCAAGGACTATTACCACCGCTGCCACACTGAACTCTTTCCCATAGATTAACAGGCTCACTCATATCTGTGCTTTAGGTATTTCTTGTTTACAAGTGAGTGTTTATGTGCACACCAACATTTCACGAACGTTTTTGTTTGCTTTTCGAGACAGGGGTTTTCTGTGTCACTGTCCTGGAACTCACTCTGTAGACCAGGCTGGCCTCGAACTCACAGAGATCTGCCTGCCTCTGCCTCCTGAGGGCTGGGATTCAAGGCGCTCACCACCTCTACTGGGCTAAAGGATATTTTTGAGCACCTGTGACTCTTTAGAAGTGAATGAACAATCAGGGTTTCAATATCCACATCTTGGCAAGGCCAATGTAAGAGAAAACCCTAAATGTATGTTTTTTTAGTTGTCATTTTAAAAACTTACTTTGAGGTTTGCATAGACATCTTTGAGTTTACAGATCATCTTAATGTGTTACACCATAGTTTAAAAAATCACCAGAATTATTCAACTCTGTTTCTAATTAAAAAGAATAATAAAGTCATGAGTGCCAATCTCTGTCTGACTCTGTATGCCTTATACTTTTGGTGTCTGGTAAAGACTATGATAAAAAGAAATGCTTTTCCAACAATTACAACAAAAACCACACACACATAAAAGAAAAACACTTCAAGTTACTTGATATAGTGACCTAACTCTTTAACAGATAATTTAAATTTGCTTAAGTGAACAAGAACTGTTAATATACTTTACCTGTATTTATAATGTTTGGATAGGTAAGATACCACATTTTCAATGTTTTATATTATAGCCTCCTGAACTTTCTTTTAAAATTACCTCATTAAAATTGTTTTCGGGGCTGATGCGATGGCTCAGCTGTTAAGAGCACTTGCTCTTCCAGAGGTCCTGAGTTCAATTCCTAGCAACCACATGGTGGCTCACATCCATCTACAATGAGATCTGGTGCCCTCTTCTGGCAAAAAGTCATACATGCAGATAGAGTACTCATAAAAATTGTTTTCTAAGCTGGGTGTGGTGGTGCATGCCATTAATCCCAGTACTTGGGAGGCAGAGGCAGGTGGATCTCTGAATTCAAGGCCAACCTGGTCTACAGAGTGAGTTCCAGGACAGGCTCCAAAGTTACACAGAGAAACCCTATCTGGAAAAACCAAACCAAACCAAACCAAAAAAGACAACTATATGATTTCATCAACTGAAAGAAAAAGACATCACAGGAAAGATTCCATTTTGTGTCCAGGGACTGCCTACTCCCTCCAAGACACTACACTCTGCAAATTATATAAACTTTATATAAGAGATGTTTTTGTTGTTTTGTTTTCTGAGGACAGTATTTCTCTGTGTGAACCACCACACCTGGCTTTATATAATAGATTCATATTACATATAATTTATGTAATGTTCATGCCATAGTTTGTAATTCCTATTAATATGGTAATTATAAAGGTGTGCTGCTGGGTTGTAATTGTGTTCTCACTATGTGGATGTAGGCAGGAGTTGGCTCCACTCTATCCTTGAAACTCTGTGTCATCGTGGTCATCATTTATCAGAAGAGGAGACTGAGGCAGAGAGTGGGCAAGTGATTGTTCAAGGTCATACAGAATGAGTGACAGAGCATGGGAGACCCTGGCTGCACTGTGTGGGTCCTTTGTTACCAAGGTGTTGTATGCAATGGCAGCATGATCACAGGCAGTGGTGGGCTGTGTACAGAGTGTGGCCAGAGCATGGGGTGGGCTGAGGGGTGGGGATGGACTGTCAACTTGCTGACCTGGGCCCTGGGGATGACGGGTATGTGTGTGTACGCCAGGGGTGGGGACAGACTCTCAGCACGCTGGCCTGAGCCCTGCAGTTGTCCGATAAGCATGGCTACTGTTGTCCTTGCTGTGGCTCAAGAAGTCCTTCAATTGGCTCCCTCGGCTCAGGCAGGGGCCTCCTGTGGGCTCTGCAGGCCCAATTATTCCTCCTGACCACACAGTGAGTCATTGCTATGTGGTCACCCTGCTTACGCATGTCTACACCGCTGTCTGAGCCTGTGGGGGTGGTTTAAACAGGATCGTTAACCTTGTTCATGTGGTCTCTCTACTCTGTTCAAACCGTCACGAACTGTCTCTCTGGGGGGGCTCATCAGCATCTGGCCATGCGATAGAAAGTCACCCGACTGGGAGGGTGCCTTTGGGGTTGCCTGACTTGAGAGGTAGGTTACACAGAACACTCCTGGGGTAGTTGTACAACAAGCAAATCTCAAGGAGAGCTGCCGAGGCTCAGGTGGGAGGGAAGCCAGGAGACCGGCCAAGGTGGGCACTGGACACTGGAATGATAGGAACAGCATCAGCCCCAGCTCATCTGGAGAATCCCAAGGAGGTACTGAAGGGGCAATGTTTGATGGCACGGTACCCATTCCAGAACATGCAGTGCGCCACAGACCAGTGAGTCTCTCAAGTTAGGCTGGGGACCTTAAAATCCTCCCACATTCTAACCCTTCTCTGGGTGACAGATTCCTACTGTCTCACTTAGTTCTCCTTGATACTCCAAAAGGAAAAGACTGTTCCGCACCTTGTCACCAGGAAGGAGCCCACGACTCAGACGGGTGAAATGACTTGGTCAAGGTCACACAGCTGGGAAACGCCATCCAACCCAGCCTGCCTCACTCTGGCCCAGATCCTCTCCAGACACCAGCAGCCTCGCCCCCGATTCCTCCCACAGCCTGGTACCCAGCAGGAGATAGGGGGAACCGCGGCTGATCTAAATTGAAATTCCAACTGCTAAATTGCACCGTGATAAAAGGCTGCTTTTCTTGACAGAACACGCAGAACTCATCGGAGCTGTCCTGAGATGCCTCTCTCCTGGTCCCCTCTTGGAACCCCATGGTTACTTGAGAAATATTTATGCTGGCGACAGGTTATTTTTTATTCTTAAAATAGATTATTCACAAGGCAGCTGACTAATTGGGCCCGCACTGTTATAATGGGCTAGGACCAGATGTATCTGGATGAAACCTTAAGCAGGCTCAGGGGCTCCTTTGTCAGTCTCTCCCCATTTCTGAGCTACCCCTCAGCATCCTTAGTGACTCAGGACCGCTACTATTGTCCCAGGAGAAACCCAGGTGAGGCTGGCCCTTGTCATCCAGCGCCACACAAGTCTAGACTCCAGGGGTGACCTTGTGTGACCATCTTGAAGACACTTGCCTGGTGTGTCTTCCGATTCCACCACCTGTACCTCTCATTCTGAGGGAGCGGCTTCTATTTCTACCTGCTGTGTCCTTTACCTCTGGCTGCTGGCTGAGACACAGGGGCTGTCCATGGATGACTTTCCAGCCAGGTGTGGCTGGGGCTGGAAACCCTGCTCTTCTCCACTGCACTGGGTGACCTTGGAGGTGCTGTTTGCTCTTCTTCAGTGGCATCCCTGACCTCTTAGGATAATAAGCTTTGCAAAGATCCCGACGAGGTACCAGGTGCAGAAGACTAAATGCTGCCTTGCTGATGTGTGTGATGCCCCATGCACCCCATCCTGCCGGCCCACGTTTCCCTCCCAAAGCTTAGCAGTACCCTGAGCTGTTCTGAGCTCCTCCATATCAGATGTTTGCCCACACACCTCTCAAAGCTCCTTAAGGACTCCATTGCGAAGATGAATAGAAATGGAAACAGAAGCCCTCCCCTAGCTCAGGGCTCCTGGTAATTGATCAGCACCCACAAATCCAGAACAAAGGCACCCCAGGGAGCCAAGGCCATAGAGGTATGCCTGGCTGCACACAGCATGGAGGTCTCCTGCTTCTTCTTGTCAGGAGGAACCAGGCCCTGATTAATGGTTTCTCGGTGCCAGTTCCCCATGGAATCATTAAACACAGGATCTGTTTCATTAAACAGATCCAGGACAATTCACCTTGTGTAATCATATCACATAAAATTTTGCCTCGGTCCAGCTCCAGAGGGGTTGTAAAATTAATGTTATGGAACCAAAGTTGGGGGGTGGGGAGACTTATCTCAGTCTAATCAGGAGGGGAGCAGAGCCACTGTGACTGGACTCAGCGGCTGTGGGGCCTCCCCTCCCAGGTTCCCCTCCCCCTGTACATCAAGGGTGTCCCAGAGCAGCCCTCAAAACTAGTGTGAGCATCGGAGACCCTGAGAAATCTGGCTGGACACAGACTCTGAAATATCCCAGGTGACACTTGTGCCGGTTTAAGGCAGTGACAATAAGTTAGAGTGTATAACAGGAAGGTCCACCAACGCTGGTGAAAATGCAAGGTTTCTGGTTGGGCAGGTCTGGGGCGGAGCCTGGTAACTGGCATTACTGAGTCCCCCAGTTGTCCTGGTACCTAGGGTGTCAAAGGAGAGGACTGGGTGGGTGGGTAGGGTGGAGAGTGAGGACTCTGTTCTCAGGGGAGCTGTCTCCTCCTAAACTCTTGACCTGGGAGGAGCTGATGGAGCCAATCTGGCTCCAGTAGGAGATGAACCTGGACCAAATCCCCATGTGCGCCCTCTGTTGGTTCAGCCTGCCCTGACTCAGCATTGACTCTGAGGGCCCAGGTGTCTTTAAAAAGGAAACAGGCCATGAGGTGGTTGCTGGGGGAGTGAGTGTCTCTGGATGTGGAGGCTGAGCAGTGTGTGTGTGTGTGTGTGTGTGTGTGTGTGTGTGTGTGTGTGTGTGTGTGTGTGTGTGTGTGTGTGTGAATCAATGCCTGGGTTAGAATCCCAGCTCAGCAGCACTTGGGATGCTAACCAAGCTCCATTTGTCCTGCCCCAGGAACCACTTTCTCCCCAGTTCCTGGAGGGTTTGACGACACAGGGGTGGCTCAGCGATGAGGTGGTGGCCATACTCCCCACACCCCACTTCTCTCAGACCTCAGAAGGCCTGGGAAGAGGAGAGCTGGCTGGCTTGGCCACTGGGTATCCAGTGACCTTGGTGGTTTTTACCTCTCTGGGCCTCAGTTTCCCTATTAGTAAAGGGAGAACCAGGGTTTTCAGTGCAGAAGCCGCATCTGTGTTCCAGTCTGGCCCTGCTTACTGGCACAGGCCTCTCACATATCTGTAGCCCAGGAAGAGCTGTCAAACCCACTTCGCCTTGGGTCATGCTTGCTGCCCAGCGGGGTGATACCTGCAGGTCACCAAGCCCTCTGAACCTTGTGGGTTGGAGCTGTTGCATGGATTCACTGATAATGGTCACACCACTGAAGGGGTCTCACCACCACACAGGGCCTGGACACAGGCCATGTGGCACCCAAAAGAGAACCCACAAACTTGTGGCCATCTGGATGCCACCAGCAGTGTTGCTGTCACCATGATGAGAAGCATAGCTGCTGAGTAGAGAAAGTGTGCCTTCCAGCCTCTTGCAACCCACTGTGATCCCATCCTCTAATCCAGAATATTAGAGCTGTTCATGAAAGTGTAAGGGCTAGTGGCCCCATTACTGGGTGTGGCCCTGTGGTGCCTCAGCCACCCAGAGATGCAGCCTTGCACAAGCTCTGCGTCCCTCTGAAGAGATTCCTGTTGGTCACCCTGCACCCCAAACCATCTGGGGCCCTGTCTCCTGTCACCCCATGCTGGCCACCCCACACTGCTCTAGGCCCTCCTGTTGTCACCCCATGCTAGCCCGCCCTGCACCCCACACCGCCCCAGGCTCTCCCTCCTGTACCTTTGCCTTTCCAGTGGGCATGGGCAGCGAAGCCTATGTGGCCTCCATACTTGCGGTTGAACTCGGCCATGAGGGCCTTGTAGGGGTTGCGGATGAGCAGGATAGCTGCGTCGAAGGCCTCGATCTCCTTCTGGCCACTCTCGTGGGTCTTGATGCAGATGGTCCGCCCACTTCGCCAGTGGTCTCGCTCACCTTTGAACCCTGCCCCCAAGCCCAGGTGAGAAGTGAGAAGCCGGAGGGGGGGCCCGGGGAGGCAGGAAGCATGCGCCACCCCCTTGTGCACCACCTCAGGATTCCTCACTCTCTTGATTCACGCATTCCTTCCTGTGTGTATTCTGAGCACCCGAGTTACCGGACATCAAGATAGAAGCCGAGCAGAGCCTTACGGCTTCTGAGAGTGAAACGACGCCACAGGGACTGAAGGTCACAGCTGCTGTCAGTGCAGTAGAACAAGAGCAGGCCGGGGAGGGACCTGGCTACACCTCTACCCTCTGAGGGACAGACATGGCCCAGGCCAGTTCATGAGCTGTGACATGTGGGAAGGCCTGGGTAGGGGTGCTGAATCCGAGAACTGAGGGTCAAGGAGGAAACGGCTTGCTGAAGACCAGAAATGGCAGGGGCCGCAGGTACCAAAGTCGGGGGGCGGGGTGGCGGGCAGGGAGTGAGAGTGAACATCCTAGGATGGGTGGGTGAGGACACGGAGCTAGAGAGGGTCAGGGAGTCACATGATACAGTCAGAGGCACCAAACCTGGTGTCTGTCCCCCTCCCCCCGCAGGACTCCCCCGCTCTGAGGGTTGGGGCACTGGGGAAATCTTGAAGGTCAAGGGTGGCCTTCATGCTGTTTCTAGGACAGTGAGTGTCCACAACACTGAGTCCCATCCCGGCCTCAGTTTCTCATCTGCCTCTTCTTCACACAGCCTTTATGGGAAACTGGCGAGACACAGAGCAGGACTCCGGTTAAAGGGGCTAAGGTGGCCGGGGTAGCCCTTCTAATCCACCAGCGCGGTAGAGGATTTCTCCCCGGGGACACAGCTGCTCCCCACCCCCTGTAATGATGGACTGGATGAGCCAAAACAGATTTGTCACAGAAATTAACATAAGCCACAGCAAATCCTGGGCTGAGAGGTCATGGGACTTTGCCAGGCCATGGGGTGCGGTGTCTTCCTGCGTGACCCACATGTATAAAGACTTATGTATAGCTTTTGCGGTGGATGGAGGTCAGGGATGGCATGTCACCAGAGAGCTGTGGCCACCCTCACAGAGCCTCTGGGCAGAAGAGGCAGTAATGGAATGCCCTTTCCTCAATTCTGCTTCACCCTGGGGCCAAGCCCTGGGATTAGACCAATCTTGCAAATTTGGGCTGGCTCATATCTGCGACCAGAAATTTTTAAAGATTTATTTATTATTATGTATACAGTGTTTTGTCTGTATGTAAGCCTGCATGCCAGAAGAGGGCACCAGATCTCATTATAGATGGCTGTGAGCCACCATGTGGTTGCTGGGAATTGAACTCAGGACCTCTGAGTTCAATCAGTCAGTGACCTTAACCACTGATCCATCTCTCCAGCCCCTGTGGGCAGATCTTTATCAACAGTTTATGAGGTTCTCCGAGGCACAGTGTCCTGAGGGCACTGAGGAATGAGGGTGTGGGACATTGGAGAGAGTACGGGAAGTTCACGGCACACAACCCCAGCTATGAATCCCATGCCACACGCCCCATTGGTGGGACTTTGTGCAGCCCGGATGAGGGCTTCCCACCTGTGGCTCCATTTTATCTTCACTGAAATCCATTTTACCACAGGCCCAGCAACGGGTGGCATTCAAGAACCGAAATGACTCTCAGAGGAGAAAACAGGTCCTCGGAAAGACGGCATCAGTAGTGGCAGCCCCCACGCTCGGGAGGTGTGGCAGGCGGATTGGCATTGCCTCCAGATGCCGTGAAGACATCCTGGCTGTACTGTGGACCCTATCTCCAGAAACCAAAACCAACAAAACGGTAACGAAAACGTCCCAATCCCCCAAACAAGGCCTCATGATGTCATCAGCAGCGACAGTGTGGAAAGTCACCCCCTTCTTGGGAGACCTGAGATGCTGTCTCTGATGTCACCATGGCATCAAACTAGCTCCATATTTGTGGAGATTAAAAATAAACACCGACAAGATGCGCCACGATTGTCTAGAAATACTTACTCTAGAGTCTAAATTTTTGTCCCCTGGGGATTTGGTCCATAGACAGGGTGGGGTGGGGTGGGGTGGTTCCATTTAGCAGAACATATTCCAGAAGAATTTTATGACTAGAAAGGAGCTTTGGGAAGACAGTTTCCGGGGGAATGTTGTTCACTCGTCAGTAAGTCACAGGGAATTGCTGAATTCCACCACCAGAGGCCCCCCTTCTGCACCCCTCTTTTCTAAGCACCCAGTACACCATTACACAAATACGGCATATTTAAATATTACCTTTTCAGAGTCACCAGTTACCTACGTATTTGGGGAACATATGACCCTCAGGTATGTGGCCCTCAGGCTCTAAGGAGCCACCAGAAAATTGTTCCAAGACATGGGCTCAGAGCTGCAGAACACACCGGATGTGTGCAGCAAATGTAAAAGGGAGGACAATTAGCCCAGGCATGCTTTGGGGTGCAGGATATCCCCCTCGCCCTCCACCCCTCACCTTTGTTGTACAGAGAGCCATCGAAGTAGTAGCTGCCCGTGTAAAAGCCAGTAGCCAGCTCGATGAGATGGCGAGCCCATGTGTTGCCGGCACCGGGGAAGCTGGCGAGCGCGATGAGCTTCTTAGACTTGGCTGGGAGGAACCTTCGGTCCATGCAGCGATTGTCTGCAGGAGGACAGACAGACAGGGGTCAGGGGTCAGCACAGTGTCCCTGGAGACAACGTCACATATGGAAGAAGAGGGACACTGATGTACTGATCGTATAGTGAGGACAGACAGACGTCCGGCAGGAGGACAAACCTCTTCTCCATTCTCAGCTGACCCCCAGCACAGCAAGTCTCTCACAGTGAGTTATTGCAGTGGCTCAACTGACTCTCAACTTGATGAGACGAAGAGTCCCACCTACAGGAGACCCCGCCCCACCCACTGCAGCTGCTACCAAGCCAAAAGGTTCTCTGGTTTCTTTTGGTCCTAGAGGGTCAAGGGTTGTCAAGTGATCATGGACCACTCCACTTAAAAGGTGCCTCTCTCTCTATGGAAATGAGACTTTTAAGAAGTCCCAATCAAATGTTGCATTGTAATTAATGACTCAGATTGGGGACCACACTTCATCAGAATGGCCCTGGGGACAAGGGGTGGAGAGATGTGTAACTCAGTAAAAAAGCTCAAGGGGAAAGTGGGAGCCTCTGTCTGTACAATATTTCGCTTCCCTGAAGTTTGACACATTTTTTTCATAATAAAAGCTTGACCATGGAAATGGAACATAGAACCCACTCCTTCATTTCCCCCATATAGAATTCTCCACGAAAACCTTCCTGGGAGGTCACAGGCCAGCTCTGTGATAATGGTCGTTTTTCTTGGTGTTAAAATCTATTTTGTCTATTTGGTTCTGAAACTCCATAAACCAAGTCAGGAGGGAGCTACAGGCTGCGTTTTTCAGGCCCTGGAATCATCAGACCCAACTCTCTAGCTTTTACACTGGGCTTTACCTCTTTGGACCACACTCTCCTGGCTTTGGGAATAGAAACAAACCGGTGACTCAGAGTGAAGTGTCGGCAGGTCAGGTGGGAAGCCGAGGCCAGGAGTGAAGTCCGGGATCCCGATGGCCTGGCTCTGAATCCCAACTCTGCCCTGTTCTACCTGTGTGGCTCCGACCATACTGCTCAACCTTTCTGTGTTTAGTCGCCCATTTGTAGAGTGGCCACCACAGCAAGCACGCCGTCTGACCCCTGGAGGGCTCAGCATGGTAAAGATCAGCTACATTGCTCAACACACAGCTGCTCCTTGTTTAGCTCCCACCGGGAACATCAGGACTTTTCGTGCAGCAGTGCTTAACAAAGAAAAACCACAGTGGACCAAGGTTTGGGCAGTTTACGGAATCTATGATGCACAACTCTTGTTAGGGTGTAGGGTCTGCTGGAGTGGTTTGGGCAGTCTGGGGATGGGGAGCTGGGAATGACCACAGAGATGTATCCAGCAGGGACTCAGGAAAGCCACTCACAGTCACAGTGCAAGTAATCTATGTAAGACGCTGTCCTCCAGGCCAGGGCCCGATGCATCCCAGAAACCAGCACACACATCCCTTCTCAGCGGCTTGTAAACAAGCAGAGCTTGCTCACCAGGTTCTCGTACTCAACATCAGATCAAGTAGGATTGCCTGCTAGGGGTCGCCAGTCACTTGGACAGGATTTTTATGCAGATCACGAACAGGCATCTGCCACTTCCCTCTAGGGTGCTGGCACGCTAGAGCGCAGGCGGCCATGCAGTGTCCAGCCTGTCCACCTATGCACTGTTGCTTGGATGTAGTCTACCCAGAGGTGTGCCGTTTGCTCTTCAGACTCCAGAGGGGTTGGTAATGGTCTTCCCATTGTGAGCTGAGGATTCTAGCATGGTCTTTGGCGTCATCTCTGAAGGCACATGCTTTATATGTAGGATTGTGGCCAGTTCCTTAACCTTCTACCATCTGTAAAATGGGCACAGCCCTGTTCACTAGCTAATTGAGGTCTTTACATCACAGAATGAGACGAGGCTTGGCCCGAGGCTGGTGAACAGTGGATGATTAGTGCATCCATGCTGGTGTAAAGTCCCGGAATTTCCTTAGGCTCTGTTCCGGCATGAGTACCTCACCTCACACCAACTTCTCTTTGAGATGCCCCAGCTAAGAATAAAGGTTTATAGTCTGTCTGCAGGTAAGCCCCTTAGCTAGTCTGAGCTTCACTTTCCCAGGGAAGTAGGAATAATCAGGATTCCCACCCAACAGGATAGCCGAGGAGATGGAAGGTCTTAGCACTGAGCCTGGTGTGGAGTAAGACTCAAATTCATTATGCCACCTCATCACCATTTTTATCATCAGCACCCTTATCGCCCTCATCACTATCATCAGCACCATAATCAACACCACATCATGATCATCACCACCATCACCTTCATTACCAATATCACCATCATTCCACCATCATTTACTACCACTGTCACTACCATCACCACCACCATCAGTATTACAGCCATTATTATCATTATCCTAGTTTGCCTCTCTGTTGCTGTGATAAAACACTGACCAAAGAAAGGTTTATTTGGCTTTCAAGTTCCAGTAGAGCCGATCACCGAGGGAAGTTAAGGCAGGCACTCAAACAGGGGAAGTGGCAGGAACCATGGAGGAAAGCTATTTAATGACTAGCTTTCCATGGCTTGCTCAGTTGGCTTTCCTATACAATCCATGGTCATCTGCCCAGGTGTGGTACCACCCACAGTGGGCTAGAGCCTCTCACCCCAGTTAATAAGAAAAGGAACATCCCACAGACTTGCCTATATATAATCTGATGATGAGAATTCCTCAGCTGAGATCCCCTCTTCCCAGACATACCTAGGGTTGTGTCAAGTTGACAGAAACTAACAAGCATAAATGTAGTCATTATCACCATCATGACCCACACCATTACCATCAATATATCACATAACCATCACCATCAACACTGCATCATGACTGTCATCATCATCATCAACACTGCATCATGACTGTCATCATCATCATCAACACTGCATCATGACTGTCATCACCATCATCATCAACACTGCATCATGACTGTCATCATCATCATCATCACTGCATCATGACTGTCATCACCAATATCAACACTGCGTCATGACTGTCATCACCATCATCATCAATAAAGAGCCACCAAGGGCCCCCAGTGGTGAGGACAGACACAGGGTCATTAGAACCTCCCCTCAGACACTTCCTCTATCTTGCACCTGGGAGGCCTAAGCCTAGGCAACTTTACCAGCCCAGCCCTCTGCCCTCTCACCGATTCTCTTTCCTCACTGCAGGCTTTAGGGAACTGTCTGGCTAGGGCACATCTGGGAAGGACAGCCTGGCTTACCTTGGACCTGCGTCTGGTACACGATGAAGTAGCTGGGGGTCCCGCAGCTCTCAAACTCTTCAGCACTGCACTTCTGCGCACACAGTTGCTCATCCTCCCGGTCATGAAGGGGGAATCGGGTAGTGGGGAACCCACAGTGGCAGGCGGTGCCAGCGAGAGCTGCCAGGGGGTACTCCTAGGCATGAGAGGAGAGGAAGAGTCACCTGGTCCTTGTCCAGCCCAACCATCCTCCTTCCCAGACATCAGCAGCTATTCCCCCTGGCAGATTGCCTCCATTCCAGTATTTGTGCTGATTAACTGTTTATCTGACTCCTTTGGAATAAGGATAAACTCCGTATCCATAACCAGGAAGATCAGTGGGGAAGTGGACTCCCACACTTTCCCACGCAGCAAAGGGAGGAGACCCATACAATGCACCAGCCCTCTCCATCTGTTGGCTCCACAATGAGGTAAAGACATTCCAGAAAAGTACTATCTAGGCATTGAACACCTGGACCCTTTCCTTTCACTCGGTGGTCACCATAGCAACACCTTACACAGCATTAGTACCAAGCTAGGAATTAGAAGTCACCTACAGCTGAGGATGTGCAGGGCATCTGCAGAGCCTTGCCAGCTCAAAAAGACCCTAGAGTGTCCTAGGACCCAGGTATATGCAGGGCGTGCTGGGCCTCAGCCCCTGGGACACTGAATGGCTAGTGTTGGTAGTAAATTCTGCCTGGCTCCTTTCCCTTGCTGAGAGTGAACCTGGGGTCGGTGCCATCTTTTCTGGCAAAAGGGATTTGTTGAGGGTCAGCACTGTATTGACACTTTCCCCTGGAGCCTGTGAGAGACTCAAGGGGGCATGCCTCTTTCGAGCTTGCACGTGTCTTTTGTGTGACAGTGCCACACAATCCACATCTTGGGATTGTGTCTAAATCTGTGCTATAAATTATCAATTGACTGTGTGTCTGTGTGCATGTCCTGTGAGCGTGTGGAGAAACCAGGTCTCTCCTTCCACCATGTGAGTCTTGGGAAGCAAACTCGGGTCTTCATTCTTGGTGGCAAGCCTTTACCCTTGATGCATCTTGTTGGCCCAAATCTGTGCTTTTAAGCCAAAAGGATGTAAGTGTGCACACCCAAAGAAGCCTTGGGTTGTCTCCTTTGCTCCCTGCTTGCCAATTTATCTCTTTCTGATTGGCTCCTAAACCAAACACAGCCCAGTTTTCCCTCTGGTCATAGGTCCAGGAAGACTCAGGAGTGAAAACCACACATCACATCCAGTGAGCTCCGCTCCCACAGTTCTTGCTTCTTTCTAAGATATTTGATAGGAACTGCTTAGCAGCAGAGAGAAAGGTAGCATGCACCTGGGTCCCACTGGGCCACCGCTGATGACATTACCTAACTAGGAGTGTTTACTATGCTTCCTCAGGCATCCTCAATCTCACACTCCCTCACTGTTAGACACAGGCAGGCAACTCCTGTCACCCTGTGTGGCTCCCCTGCCTTGAATCCATGAACTAACGCATTCCTCTGCTTTGTCACAGGTCACGATCGGTGACCCCATCCACTCCGAGTGACTGCTACTTCTCCAGCCCCACACCCTGTTCCTTAGGCTTCACGCCACTCTGTCCCTGCACCCTGAGTGCTGCAAACAGCCCCAGCTTACCTTCTCTGTGCAGAGGTCCACGCACTTGTCCACCGACATGTTTGGCATGGCGGCTGTCACAGGCAAGGCCAGGGAGAGGTTGTTGGGTCGGCGGAAGCAGCCCCTGAACACCGCACTTCCATCTGAAGAAGTAGACAGAGCTGTCAGACCTAGGGATGGCTAATCTTCGGACAGTGTCTGGAACCAATAAAGCCTGAGTAGCTGGGCAAGCTTGCGAGGTATTTTCCTGATTGGATCACGTGAGGTGGGAAGATCCACCCTAAATCTGAACCACACCTTTGGGGGCAGCCCCCATGAAAGGACACGGAAGAAGGAAGCCTTTGCCTTTTGCCTGCTTGCCTCACTCTCACGGCAAGGTCACCTATCCTGTCACTGAGGCATTTCCTTGCTGTTATTGGAACCAGTTTCTTCAGGATCCCAATGTTGACTGAAAACCTGGAGGTCACAAGCTGGACTGGGACTGCTGGCACCAAGTCTTATGAACTGAACAGTTAACATACCCTTAGCCTTTCTGCTAGAAGACAGCAATTGTTGGACAACTCAGACTACATAGCCTCTGTAAGTCCCTCCAGTAAATCCCCTTCTGGAAGGAAGATCTAGAAGACTGCCCAGAGAAGGCAGATCCTCCTGAGGTTGCACAGCAAGCCAAAGCAGAGAGGGAAAGAATGGGCCTGTTCCCAGCGAAGGAAGTCAGTATTGCGGGGGATGTGCCTCTGCCTTGACATTTGTGCCAACAGGTGACTGGGATGGGTACTCTGTGGGCCACCCTTCTCTTTCTTGGCATCTCTGTGCCTCAAAATGGGACTGCCCCATTCAAGGAACAGACATATGGCATGCAGGGTTTTCTCTGGATTGCCTACCAGTTAGCAATGGCAGGGCTCCCTCCGCCTAGCTCAGGACAAGGCTGAACCTAAGTTAATCTGCCATGCTGGGCTGACCCACAGAATACACTGGGGCCCCAGCATTTCCCAACAGTCCTTTGAGCAGCCAGGTCTGCCTCCTTGCCTGCTGCCCTGAAGACTGAAAACAAGGAGACAGAGATATGGAATCCCAGCCTGGACATCAGGAGTCCAGACTGCAAAGGACAGGGAGAGAGTGAGAACTTTGTAGCTCAGTGCTGCTGAAAGGAGTCTACTTTGTCCTGTAAGCAGCTGCTCATGTCTGGAGCCCAGGCAGGAGGGTTGAACAGGAAGCTGTGATTTCAGATAAGGCGAGGACTGCAGAGTCTCAAAGGGACAGAGACAGCAGCTGCAGGAACAGGCACAGAGGGCAGCAGGCTGAGAGTCAGCCAGTCTCCTGGATATAGGATGTTCCTGTTGAGCTCCTGGGGAAGACTACAGAGCCCTGTGGAAGAAGGTTCTAAGTCAGCAAGAAAACATCCAGCTGACTCTCAGGAGTCCAGAGAGCCCAATGGAGGCCACTTCTGTCTTTAAGTGGCTGTCCACTACAACATGGTCAACTGGATACTAAGCATCCTAAAGGTGGTTGGGACCTGGGTCTTCCCACTGCCTTTCTTTTCCCATCTTTTGTATGGGTCACAATGCTGTCTGCCTAGCGTCTTTTAGATTTGAAAATAAAACTGGTAGTTAGCCGCTCCCTTTGGCTTCTCTGTGACATAATAAATATTTGGATTTCCATAGGACTAAGATGATGTTTTCATGTTGGGAAAAAAATCTCTGGAGTTCAGTGCAAAGGGGATCACCCAGATGGTCCGGATGCAGTCACTTGACTTATCTGGGCTAGTGGATTTATATGGGCATATTCACCTTTCACTGCGCCTCAGTTTTCCTCATCTGCGTATAGGGGCTTGGGACTAAGCAGTAGCTACTGTCAGTGTCTTTTGATATGCATGCCCATCCGGGGACAGGATGAGAGTGACCAGACAGGGTAACTTCTCCAGGAGCCACTCTCAGCTGGACATGGGTAAGAGTCAGGGAATAAATACTCCAGCTTTCTGTTCCTTGGGCAGGTCACCTCTGAAGCTTATCTAGTGCCATGTTCTGGAGAGTTCCTGAGAGCCAAGGGGAAGCCTTCATAAGTGGCTGGATCCATAAAAGACTCCACTGGCTGCTTCCAGTCTTGCTACTCCAGCAGAGGCACCGTGGCACCAGCCTCCAGTCGCCTGGTATCTAAAAATACTGTAAGAACTCTTAAGGAAGTATCCCTTCCAGAGACCAGGGTCACACCCTTTCACTGGCCACAGATCGAGTGACACCTCCTAGTCACGTTCCACCACAGCCCTTGCCAAAGAGCAGCCATGGTGATTGTAATGGCGGCTTCCCGTGTGCACCATGGTGTCAGGCATATTTCAGGCAGCGTCTCATTTGTCTTCACAATGGACTGTGATGTTATCAGTTCCATTAGCTTGCTCTACAGACAGCCCAGGACTTAGCAGGACCCTGTCTCCAGGTCCCACAGTCATCGGGGAGCAGAGCTGGCTTTTGTCCCAGTCTTTTTGCACACCAATGGTGCGTTTCCCACGTCTGCTTTTCCACATGAGCTATGCCCAGTGCTAGGGCGGGGCTCCAGAGACCCCATGCCAGCCACGCTTATTTCCCAGAATTCTTCTCAGGCTCCTGAGGCGGCTGCAGAAGCCTGTGCCCCACATTTTGACAATGTCAGCCCTTGTTGGCAGTCTATCAGGGACAAGCATGACCTCAGTAGCTTGAACTTTTTACTAGAAAGAGTTGAGAGGAGCAATGGCACATTGACATTCTTTGCTGGGGGCAGGTGCAAGAGTCTCTGAAGTCTTGCCACTTCATTGTTCTGGCATGTCACAAAAAAAATGAGGTGAATGTCACCGGGTGCCAGCACAGAGGCAGACATGGAGGACTCCTTCTTGGTCAGAAAGAGGCCACCACCCCCTGGGTAATTAGGCCAAGTTCCACTGCATTGAAGATGCTGGCTAGGGATGCTACTAGCTGGAAGCTGGTCTCAGCCAATGAGCTACCCATAGTCAGAGAGACACTGAATTACACAAAGAACCTTCCTGTCCAATGGGGGTTCAAGACAGCTATTTTTATACATCACCAGAAGGTCCTGTAGGTGTTGGAATCCAAGTAGCTTGAACCGGGAAGTTCTCAGAGCAAAGTTGGGGAATCTGTTAGGAGCAATGCGCACCATGCTGATGCTGTCTAGACTCTCACTTTGTGGCCCCAATTGTCCCTAATTTATAGACAATGCTTCGAGACTCAGAATGGATCTGTAGGCTGGTCAGAGTCAGTGTAACAAAGAAAAACTGGGGTGGAAAATCCACGTCACTCCCTATGTCTGCCTGCCCGATTCCCTTTGAGAATTTTGCATAGAGAAGCTCCAGCCGAGCCCACCTGTTATGACCAGCAAAGTCTCCCGTGAGTCTCAGAGTTTCCAGTACCATATGTTTGAGTCTGGCAGAGAAGTGGCTGTCAAGGTCCATCCAAAGAGACACAAGTTTCCTGGACAAGCCGGAGGCAGGAGTGGCAGGGAGGAAACATAGTGAGCAGAAAGCGCAAACCTCACAGAGTTCTCCTTCCAACCCTTGAAGATGGGAATCTCCAGAGCTGACGATCAATCATGGACGGAATGCACTACCCAAAGCTACTAGGGAGTCGCTGGATTCTTCAGTGTTACTGCGAATTTCATAACGTCTCATCGAGGTAGGAGAGAGGGCAAAGGTGAGAGTAGGAACCAGAGTTGGGTGGAGAAGGAGAGGCGAGAGGGAGACAAGGAGAGAGGAAAGGGCTGACTGAGCCCAGGGAAAGCTGTGTGGCAGTCACAGGACCTGAATCGCACCAGAGGGCAGTCAGCACCATGGACAGCCACACAAGGCACCCTGGGAACTCCTGGAAGCACATCCCAGCTCTCAGGATTTTCACCCAAAATCCTGCAAGCATCTTCCAGGCAGGCACATTCTCTTGTGACCTACTATAAAATCATAATGTTCTCCAATCACCAGCTGGTCTGTCCCTTGGGGAGAAAGCTAACTAGATGGCACACTTAGCAAACTGGTGTGACAAATGCAGTCTCACCAAGAAAGTAGATCATTTCTTAGTTCTTTTGCACCAAAAATGAATCTGTGTGTCCCAGGGTCTGTGTTAAGGCAGAACGGCGGGCACCTGCAGAGATGGGTCCTGACCACCTCTGAATGTCTTCACTGTTTGCTTCAGGAACAAGCGACCCCCTCACAGGCCCACCTGTGTGGTGCTCAGGAATTAAATGCTCCCTTAGGATCTTCTGACTCGAAGCCTTCTGTATGTTTTCTCAAGAGACTCTTCAAATAGAGTCTTGTTTCTGCCCTCTCCATTTCCTGAAAAGGTCACTCACTTCTTCACCTGTATCACCCATGCTAAGTTGGCCATGAGCCAGTGACCTGGACGACACACCTTTCTGAGTTGTTTGTGGCTAAAGCAGATCCCAGGTATGGGAGTCAAAGGTGCTTTGGAGTCAGGGCAAAGGCAGCAGAGATGTCATGAATTTTAGAGCCAGGAGATAGGAAATGTGTCAGGGGTCAGGGGTCAGGGGAGGAAGGAGTTAGTCGAAACTGAGTCCTTGTAGAAGTGATTCTCCAAAGGGGAGTCAGAAACCTGTTTCCAGTCATTATCAGTCCACAGAAGGCACCGTGACATCAGAAAGATGTGCCTGTCACACCTCCTGATGTACATCCAGACCGTCTCAGGTCTAGTTCTCTTTGCCTAGATTTTTCCCAGGTTCCTTGACAGTGTGTTTCGAATCTTGGTGCTTTTTCCTTCTCTACCAGAGAAAGTTATACCCATTGTTTGAGGCCCCCCACCAATTGTGCTCCCTTCGAGAGTGTCTTCCATTGAGCTATTTCTGCTGTCTATGCATCAGTTTCTACAAGTATGTGATGGAGACAGATGAGGAAGATTATTCCAAGAGGACACTCACTGAATCTGGATTGTGGCTCCTGGCTGAACACTGGCTTCTGGCTAATCTAGACTCTCTTGAGAAGAGTATTGCACTAGTGTCCCTTTGGTTCTTTCAGGCAGCCTCTGCAGTCTGCTGTGCTTAATCCCATGGCTGAACCAACCCAATTGGCATCCAACTGTCACCCCAGGATTGTGGCTTCCTTGGAAGAGAGGCTACACCTCCCACACTGCATCTACATAAAAGTGCACAGTGCCCTGCTTCAGCTTCTCCATATGCCATTTTGCTGGCTGCTGAGTGGGAGCCTAGTAGGCATCCGGCTGGACATCTGGTCAACCGCCTGTCTTCTTACCTACAACCCTTCCATTCTAGTCTCAAGGAAAGCAGCCTTGAGGCACGGGCTTTCCTTTAGTTCTCCAGTGGAAGGCTTCACACCTTGAATACCACACTTTGGTGGCCAGAGGATACAGAGAAATGGCCACATCTCTCTTTGGACACGACACAACACAAAGATGCTTTTCTCAGGCAGTATGGTGCCCCACACAGGCCACTTTTACTATCACAGAGATGGGCAGGCTGAGTGGGGAGGACACATCCCTGCCAGCTAGTCCTCCCTACATGTGCAAGGACCACTTCACAGAAGATGCTCACCATCTCTGTGTGTTATACATCTCATCCAATTGAGAAGCATTTGGTTTAATTGTCACACTAGAGACTGGGGGGCGGGATGTCCCAGATTATCTAGTTAGCAAGACCACAACCTAAATCTTTTCCACCCATCCCAGGTGCATCTGCAAGTGGCAGCAGCCTCTCTAAGGGACCACAACACTTTGAGGCCATCTCCAGATGTCAATGTGTCGCCATTTTAATGACTTGGTATCAGAGTATATGAAATCAATTGTGAGATTGGGGGATCTGCCACTTAGAACCTTGTTGCACCAATGGTCAGACCCAAGTCCACTGCACAGGTTTTCTTCAGTTAAGATTTCTCACCTCTGTGCTTTGACCGCTGGGTCTTCAGACATGAACTGAGGTGACTGAGGTGGATGGCACACCCAGTACATTTGTAAACCAGAGGCATGCTCAACCCTGGTAGCTGCAGGGCAGAACTTGCATGAGGCCACCAAAGTTCAGGTTCTCAAGCCCTATAGATAGTATCAAGTGATGGATTGTTAAAGAGATAGCCACAGAGAAGACACCCTGTCTCCACAGACAACTGGACATATCTGTGCATTTTTGCCTTTCTGTACCAAGGATGGGGCTATGGGTTAACAGACTGGAATAGCCTATGGGTACCTTAGGGATGTAGAACCCAGCTGGGCCTAGTAGCTTAGACCTATCATCCTAGCTGAGGTATCTGAGGCTGAGACAGTGGCTTCACCAGTTCAAGACTGCCTAGGCTACAGACTGAGTTTAAGGCTGAAGGTAGGGGGTGTAGAGAGCAGTTACCTAAGCATGTTTGAGATTCCGGGTTCCATCCCCTGGCACTGTAAAAGCCAAAACCAAAACCAGACAAAGTCACAGTAGTTTGAAAAAACTTCTCCATCATCTCAGTCATCTAACACTTGGCTGCCCAGGTGGTGCTGTGTGGGGAGGCTCTGGGGAGGTACAGCCATGCTTGAGGAAGTGTGTCACTGGGGGTGGACTTTGAGAGCATTTTTGTTGGTGTTTGTTTGCTTATTTCTTGAGATAGGGTCTCAGTCTGAAGTCCTGGCTGTTCTGGAACTCACCAGCTGAACTCAGAGATCTGCCTGCCTCTGCCTCCCCAGTGCTGGGATTAAAGATGTGAACTACCACACCCAGCCCTGGACTTTGAGAAGTCAAAGCCTCCTGCTTGCTCCCTGCTTCATGCTTGTGACTGAGGTGTGATCACTCAGTCTTCTGATCCTGGCTCCGTGTCATGATGGCTCTTCTCTTCCCGGAACCACAAACCCAAATAAACCCTTCCTTCTATATCCTGCCTCGGTCATAGTGTTTTACCACAGCAAGGGAAAAGTAACTCGTACAAGAATTATTCAGTTTAACAAGGTCTCCAGGGATATCAGGCATGCTGACATGGAGCCTGGCTGAAGAGCCCCAGAAGCCTGTGGCTGGCTACTTTTAGGTCCAATTGTCACAGGTGAAACTTGAGTTGAGAAAATGTCCCCACCACATTGGCCTGCGAGCAAGCCTGTGTTGCACTTTTGTTGACTGATAGCTGATGTGGGAGGGGCCTCACCCTGGGCTGATGATTCTGGGTGCTGTAAGAAGATGTTGATCAAGCCATGAGGACCAAGTCAGTAAGCCATGGCTTCTGCTTCAGTTCCTGTCTTGAGAACAGTCCTGACGTTTCTGGATGATGGACTGTGACGTGGAAGTGGGAGTGTAATTAACCCTTTCCTCCCCAACTCACTTTTTTTTGTCATGGCATTTATCATAGCAATAGAAACCCTGACTGAGATGAAGCCCTTGCGGGTTTCCCCCCCTGCCTGTGTGGGCCTTGGCAAAATTACTTCAATGCATTAACCCTCCATTCCCTTGCTGTAGACAGTGATGGTTGCCAGCGGCAACTCCTGGGAAAGGCTGTGGAGAGGAGACATGATACATCAGGGCTGACCTGAGCTTAGCACCTGGTTACCAGCAGACTCTTGACAAACAGCTAATAACCGAAACCCAACACTCCCTGCTCAGGAAGGGGCAGAGGGGCAATGGCCGAGGCAGAGATGTCTCCTGCCTCTCCTACTACCTTCTCTCCTTGGTTTGCAAACTGCAGGGTTTTCCAGCAAGACTCAAGCTGGGAACGCTAGCAAGCTGGGGGGGGCTCTCAGAAGTCTGCTGAGCTGGAGAAAGCCTCCCCCCTGCTCAGAGCTGGGACACTGAGATGGGTTTCTGGCCTCAGATGGAGGCAAGTAAAAGCAGTACCTCATGCTCGCTTTCCCTCCCTCCCTCCCTCCCTCCCTCCCTCCCTCCCTCCTTCTTTCCTTCTTCTGTTTTATTTTCTTGTCCTGGGGATTGAACCCAGGGACTTGTGCATGACAGGCAAATGCTCTACCACTGAGCTACAGCCCTAACACCCTCCCACCCCTTAGACTTGTTTTGAGACTGGTTCTCACTATGTTGTCCAGGCTGGCCTCAAACTTCCTCTGTACCCAGGCTGTCCTAGACTTGACATCATCCCCCACCAGCCTCCCCATAGGTCAGGCTTTCCTTGTGCCTATTTCTGAGGTCACTGTGGAGACATGAGCTAGTCCACACAAAGTGCTTAGACAAGGACAAAGGCTGCGTGCTCTTACAGTCTTGGCTACTACATTGTCAGGACAATTGTCTCAAAAGAGACAGGCCAAGTTCAGGTTCAGACTTGGGGGCAGAGGAGAACAGGGACACAGGAATGGTGAGTGACTGGCGTGAAGGCTGGGATGGGAGGTGAAGCCTATGGTGACTTTGGGGTGATGGGACCTCATAGAAGGTGCAGGGCAGACACTGGGGGTGAGACCATCAGGGCCCCTGGGGGAGTGGGCGGTGGAGGGCTAGTGTGCCACAGCAGAGGGGTGGGGCGAACTCACGTACACCTGCGGGCAGACTCCTGGGCCAGCTGTAGTCGGTAGACAGAGAGGCGGTTGACACCACCACACACGCTGCCTCGCTCTCCCTTGCAGTCCATGTCACACTCGGCTTCGCTCACGTTGGCCGCCTGGATCTTGTGGCCACAGTAGCACTCGGCACCGAACTCCAGCCCAGCATACAGGTAGCCCCTGGGGGAGGCTGGTGTCAGGCAGGGACAGCTGACAGTGAGACCCAGGGGAAAGGAGACTGAGTGGGAGAAACCCCAGGCCACAGGACCTGGGAGACTTTGGGGTACAGGAGATAGACAGAGTCTCCAGGAGGCCTGGAGGCCCAGGAGTGAGAGCACAGGAGACTTCAGAAAGGGGACCAAGGGGTTGGGGGGCAGGGAGCTTGGAGGAGAAACACATAGGTCAGAACTACTCCAAAGGGCAGGACAACCTGCTGGGGGTCACAGAGGTGGGGAGTCAGAGGTCCCGAGGCACTGGGGGTGGGGTGGGGAGAGACCTCTGGGAACACGGAAAACATTCTGAGGACACCCACCAGCCCTCCTTGCTGCCTGATGAGTTGTATCCCCACACTACTCCCCATGTCCATATTAACACTCACACTCATGTATAGCACACACGTTCACTCTGTACACACACACATGTACTTTCACACACACAGTCGCTTAAACACACTCATATTCATACATTCACAGATGCTCATACAAACTCAATCACACATTCATACACATATTCACACATACACATTCACTATGTGCGTATGCGCGCGCGCACACACACACACACACACTCACACACACACACATCACCACCTTGCCCCTCCCCTGGTCCTCTCTCACCACTACAGAACCCAACCTCTGCCTTCTAGGAAACATCACCCAAGGAGACACCTCATTGCCAGGTCCCCTGAAGAGCTCTGGGCAAGGGGAGGAGGCAGGGCACTTCTATCCCTTTGCCAAATTATAAAACCAGGCTCACATACCCAGCCAAGAAAAGAATTTCTTCCCTGAAAACAAAGCAAAACAAAATTCCAGGAGCTCTGAGGTTATGCTGGTTTTTTTCCTAGCTGTGGAATTCTTCCCTAAAAAGGACAGTCAGTGGATACCAGTCTAAACACATGGAAGGAGGCTGTGGCTGAGGATTCGGGGAAGGAGGAAGGGGGAGTCCTGCCAGCCCCCTGACCACTGTGCTCCCAGAGACAGTCTCCAGAGGCATGGGGCTCCTCAGAGGGCAGCCTGCAAAAACATGTCCCCAGAGGAGCTGTCGGTGACAAGGACTGTCTCCTGGAACCCTATTCAGCACTGAGCAGAAGGGCAGAACCGCCCGGATTTGTGCCTGCACATGCCCCGGTGACTTGGTGGCATTAGCCTGTCCACCTGCTCTTTCTGAGAGGCAAGACCAGCTGGCATGACTGAGCATCGTGGAACCTCACTCGCCTCCATGTCCCTGTCCCTCTGAGCCTGCTTCTCAGACATCCCCTGGGCCCCTCTCCTATAGTGGAGCCCACTGACAGAATCAACATCATAGGCTGTCTCTTATTTCAGAGACAGCCTGTAACTCAGAGCCAGAAGGGATGAAGTCTAAGGAGGAGGGCATTGTTCTAGAGAGGGCTTATATGCCAGCTGGGGAAGGGGCTTATATGCCAGCTGATCCCCTGACTTGGGAGAGCTGGAAGTTCACAAGGTGTTTGCAAACTGCTCTCTTAAAGTGGTGGAGTTTAAAACCAGGCATGATAGCACAGGCCTGCAATCCCAGTGACTCCAGAGCCCGAGGCAAGAAGATTGAAAAGACTTGAGATGACACAAACACCGTTTCTTAGAGACGGCCAAGTGTCAGAACTGTGCTCACCAAGGTAACCAGCTGGCCATGCATTCCATACCTTACAAGCCTGCTCCTCAGCACATTCCACACAGTTGCAGTCATACTCCCACAGACCACATTCATATATATATATATATATATATATATATATATATATATATATATCTTTGTGCATACACATGTATGTGTGCATGTATGTACATACATGTGCACAAGCATGTATATATGCATTTATAGAAGTGTGTACACACATGCCTATGTGCACACACATGCACATACACAAACACACATGCACACACACACATCAATCATAATTACAATCCTTTGTTTCTAGTTTCTATAGTTCCTTGTTCACTGTGCTCTGACATTTTCTCCACAGCAAGGCAAAGGACACCATGGAAGGAACCCTGGGTGAAAAGGGCTAGAAGGGACATATCTGGGGACTTGGGAGAGGTGGCGGGGTAGGGGTCACTACCGTTCAGCACAGTTGTCCTGGCAACGGAAGACTGTCATCTTTTTGTAGTCGAAAAAGGACACACCTCGAAGGGCCCGGCTCTGGGTGTCGTCCAGGTAGCAGCCGATGTACTTGGCTGTGGGGGAAGAGGAAGAGTGTGGATGAAACCAGAGGGGCTGCAGGAGGCGGCTACTGTGTGCCCGGCCTGTGTGGCTTTGCCAAGTGTGTATGTAATACCTGATTTCCTCCTCAGGGCACAAACGAGAGAAGGGAAATGCTGGTCTGTGGTTGATCAGGGCAGTGGGTACTAACGGGTGAGGATACAGACCCTGAAGACGGCAGGGCACAGGAGGGACTGCCCTCCCTGAGCCACAAACAAGTTCACTGGTGACACTGGTTCCTGGGGCCACACCTCTAGCCCAGAAGGAACCTCACTTCACCTGGGATAAGGCCTGTTTCAGTGGCATGGAAGTTCTGGAACCCTCCCCTGCTTCCACTGGCTGCCTCCAGCATCTCACTGCACTTGGATGGTTCAAGGCTCAGGTCTCACTTCACTCTGTTACTTCCAAGCTCTGGTCTATGGAGCTTAGGTGGGTTGACCTCCCCAAGGCCTTGTTTCCTTGTCCTGGGGAATGAAGCCACCAATCAGTCAGCTGGAGCGGAACGACTCATGAATGGTCCTATTGTATTGTCCTGCATGTGCTAGGTGCAAAGAAACCAGCTACTCACTGGTCAGAGTACAACACTTTACAGTTTATAACTGGAGGTCTTGGGTGAACACTTCCATCCCAGAGTCACTTCAAACGATATCCGAGAACCACCCAGTTGTTAACACTGTGAACACATCACCTTTCTTTATGTCAACCAGGAACTCACACGCAAAGACAGCACTTTACAGTTTGTGCAAAACCTCTTCTCGCTTTTCCCAACACCTGGGTACAGGCTACAGTAAGTGCTTTATACGCACAACTTACTGAATCCTCACCAAGGCTCTGAGAACATTATCTCTATTCTGTGGTCCAGAGAGGTTGTCATCTGCTCAGGGTATAGAGGAAGCTAGAGTTGGACACGCACAGCCTGGCTCCAGATCCCTCTTCTGGATGGTTGGGATGTGCCTGCACACTGGAAAGACCTAGTGTCCTCTCGTCCTGATGGAGGCCTGGAGAGCAGAGACTCAGAGCTCAGAGCTGGATGAAAATTCGCATGCAGGTCTACAGGACCCACACTGGCTTTTCCTGCCCCCTCCCTTGGGAAAGAAGGGCCCAGCCGGGGTCCAGGGAGTGACCAGGAAAACCTCAATGCCATTTGAGATCTCTCTGCCTAGGAGGCTGCCCACATTAAACGGGAAGGGATCCTCTGCCTGTCCTTGTATGGGGGCAGGGCTAGCAGGAGGACAGTCCTCCACCACATGAGATTGTTGCCAGCTCTGCTGAACACACCAGTCTCCATCCTGGCACCTTGGACCTCCTTCAAAGCACAGAGTGATGGGCTCTGCTGAGGACAGTCTAGCTTCAAAGGGAGTGCTGCTGCCCCAGGGCCCCCGTCCCCCGAGCCCATCACTAGTGACAACTCCGGAGGGTCCTGCCTTTGTTCTTTCTGGACATCCTAAACGTCTCCCATCTCAGACAGGATCTCGGCTGATAGGGCACTGTGGGCACAGGGCAGGGATGCCCACAGGTTTCATTATGGGCCTTCGCTTGTTTATTTCTGTTTCAGGTAAAACCCTGGGCCTCACACATACTTGGCCAGAACTCTTCCTTGGAGCCACGCTCTCAGACTTCTTGGCTTTTTGAAATTCAAATTTCACAAGCTTCTTGGGAACCCATTTTTTAAAAAAGTGTGTGTGTGGGGGGGGCGTGCGCAGATGCCTGCATAGCCAGAGGAGGGTTTGAATGCCCTGGAGTTACAGGAGGTTGTGAGCTGCCTGGTGCAGGTGCTGGGACCGATACTCATGCCCTATGCAAGGGCATTATATGCTCTTAATTGCTGAGCCATCTCTCCAACCCCTCTGGGATCCATTTTATAGACAGAGAAGTCCATCATCAGGACACTAACACTCTCTTGCCTCTGCCTCCTGAGTGCTGGAATTGCAGACAGATTGGTATCTCCTGCCTCCCTACAGGGGTTCCCTGACCCAATTAGGGTCGGTAGCACTGCCCACCCACCAGCCTCAAGATGGCATGGGGCCCACGCCCTGAATTCCTACAGATTAAAGCCAGCAGTGCTGCACCTGCCTTCCCTGGCTCATGACACTGGCATTGAGTAAGACTAGAGATGACAACGGCTGATACCAAGTTCAGTCTGTGCAGGGGGACGATAAATGGAGGGGGAGGACAATGGGGGCTGGGAGAGGGTAATGCAGGGAGGGGAGCAATGGGGGTGGGGAGGAAGGAGAGAGAATGAGGAAGGAGAGAATTAAGTGTTGAAGCCCAGGTGTCAGATCATTCTGCCCAGTGGCATGGCAGGACATACAGACACTCCCAGAACCCTGATGCTGAAGCTCATTAACTTGCTGAAGCCACCCACAAGGAAGGTCTCACACCAAAGCCCAGCCCAGGCTTGTCTCCTCCAAAGCTGCCACTTCTGGTCTACTGCCCTGAGGCTGGATCCCGGAGATTTCCCCACCCTCATACACCAGGTAGAGGGCCAGACAGTCAGGGTTGGAGCACATGTCCTCCTCCCCCAGATCAGGACTTTTAGTTTGAAAGGGTATGCTCATTATGGTGCAGGGGATGGAACCCAGGGCTTTGGGAACCCAGGGAGAGGTCTATCTGGACTATTGACTCTACCCGGCCCTCCCCAGACTAGCATTAAACTGAGATGTCCCGTATCTGTTGAAGGGGAACACTCGAATGCCTGTTTCCTTATCTGTCAACAGAAGGGAGACACCAGGTCCTCTGTGCTTTGAACACAGGCCTGCCACATACCATTACCCAGTCAGTGTCAGGATACACAATTGAATTACTTTCTTGCCTCTACTGGGCAGGATCCTGTGGCTTCTCTCCCCAGCCTATATGGTCCTAATCTCTGGAACATCACAGCACTACTAAGTCTGAGCTCATAACTTGTGACTGACAACTCCAGAACCCTCCTCAGCCTTTCCTGGGGCTTGTGTTCAAATTCTGCCATGGTGGCAGCATTCCCCAGAGGCAGGGGATTTCAGACATGTGAAACAGGGTCACAGACCACATGAAGGGGACTAAAGGCAAAGTCCACACAATCCATCAGAATCTCCAGAGACCCTTGAGATACCTGAAGGGCCTGGCTGGTAGAATCCAGCCCAGATTCCAGCAGGTGAGGACCCCCCCCCCGTCACACTGAACTCTCTTCTCTCTTCACACTTTCTCTTCTGCTCTCATTAATCTTTTCATGGGATTCTCCTCTCTCTGATGCAGGCCATCTGCTAAGAGGGTGGCTGAGCACACGCAGGTTGGCACACTTTTTTTCTGTACTGTTAGGAACAGGCTTCGGAGGTATCCTGCTGTGCCAGAGTCAGCCAGATCTGGATTTGTGGCGCCTAGCCACAGAGTTGGGCTCCCAGAGGACATCATTTCCCCACTTGACAAGTGGGATCAGAAATTCTGCCTGGAGTACCTTGAGGTGACCTGTGTCTTACACACAGCCCCTGCCCAAGAAGAGAGGCACCAGATTTTCAAGCCCAACACCTCAGAATATTGCCTTGTGACAGATGGTCACACTGCCCCTGAATTAGGTAAGGAGGTCAATTGGAGGGGGGTGGTCCCAAACCAACAGAGCTGATGACAAGAGGACACTGGACAGGGTGTGTGGCACCTGTGAATGGAATAAATGAGTGGAGATATGTGCATATGTAGTTACATAAACAATACATACTGCTTGACTGTGTGTATGTTCAGAGATATGTGCACATGTGTGTATATTTGTGTGTAGGGTGAACATTCATGTATGTGGGTGGTGATATCTTTCTTGTACAACTAAAGCCTGCCTGGGGGTCCCAAGAATGGAGCTTGCCACTAGCTAGCCATAGAGGTCTGGAGGTCCGTACAGACAGGTAGGAAGTGACGTTGCCGGGCAGAAACAGGATATAAGCAGGGACAAACAAGAAATCGATCTTCTCTGCAGAGATGCAGTTACAGGTCAGGCATTCTCTGGTAAGCCAAGACCACATGGAAATATATAGATTAGTAGTTATAGGTTAATAATTAAGACAGAGCTAGCCAATAAGAAACCCTAGTCACCAGCTAACAGCGTTATAATTACTATAGTATCCGGGTGCTTATTTTGGGCTGAGAAGGGCAGTGGAACCAGCCGGGACAAAGAACCCCATGTTACGCGCGCACGTGTGTGTATGTGTGTGTGTGTGTGTATGTGTGCACATGTGTAGGGGTGAACACTGCCATATGCATGTGCACATTGTAGCTAGCTTCAGGTGTTACTCATCAGGTGTCATCCACCTTGCTTTTTGAGGCAGGGTCCTTCACTGGCCAGGAACTCACCTAGTAGTAGGCTAGCCAGTGAGTTCCAGGGATCCCAGTGCTGGAATTGCAAGTGTGCACTGCAAGCCCAGCTTTTCTTCCATGAACTTTGGGTTCTCATGCTTGTATGCAGTTTACTAATGGGGCCCCCAGCTGGGTTATACAGCTTAAGGAAGAGCTGGCTGGGGGTGGTGGTGCACGTCTTTAATTCTAGCACTCGGGAGGCAGAGGCAGGCAGATCTCTGTGAGTTTGAAGCCAGCTTGGATTACAGAGCAATTTCCGGAACAGCTAAGCTGCTACACAGAGAAATTCTGTTTCAAAAAAGAAAAGAAAAGAAAAGAAAAGAAGAGATACTGTCATTCTATGGTTAGCAATAAAGGCTTTGGATTCAGAGAATTGGGATGCAGTCTGTTCTACCTTTTAGCTGCTGTGTGACATTGGGAAAGTAGTCTAACTTCTCTGATCCTCTGTAAAATGGGACTCAATAATTTCTACATGAAGTGATGCATAATCCCAGGAACTTGGGTTGACACTGTCTGTGTCTTCCACCAGAGGAGAAGGGGAGCAGGCTTCCCTGCTATTCCTGAACAGTTGTTCTGCATGCCCACATCCAGCAGGACCCTGACAGCTTGGGAGGGAACAAGGCTTCAGTGTTAGGCTGAGAAGCATTTCAATTTTGGTGGTGCAGATCTAAGGTGCTGAACTCCAAATAAATCCATCAAGAGATGGGCTTCATCTGTGTTTTCCTAATGACACCGCCTGCCGAGAGCCCAGAGCTTAGGGCTACCTTTCTAAACCCTTTCCTTCTCTCTTTGCATTTCATAAAATATGTATAAGCTCAATGTGCTGGGCTGTGCCCAGCATTCAGAAGAAGGCGCGAATGCTTTGGAAGTCAATCGACATTGTTTCAAACTTCAGTTATCCTGCAAACAACCTGTAACTAGGGGAAGCCATGGCTCTCTGAAATCAGTCTTACCGTGTGCAAAATTGACCAAAATGACCTCTAATTCATGGACTGGTGCTAGATAAATAAAGCAATGAATCAACACAACACTGTCCAGTCCACAGGGCAGCTACTAAGTGATATGCCGTCACAAACCAGAGGGTGTGTCAGGCATGCACATAGATCGCCCCGTTCTAAGCCATGAGCAGGAAACACCATTGAGCATGGCTCAGGTGCTCAATAAATGGCATAGCTACAGTCATAGCGGCCATCTGTTGGTCTCTCGGTAACCCACAGTGGTGGGGTTCCAGCATCCCTTGTGACCCAACACATGGATGAACTCCCTCATGTGCTCTGTAGTTATTTCTAAATGACTTTAGGCTCTGAGGCAGTGTGAGCACTGGGAATGCATGGGGAGAATTCTGCATATATTCCTTACAAATGCATTTTCCTTGGGTGTTTTTTGTTTGTGGTATGAACCCTCAGCCATGGAGAACTGACTGCATTTCACTAACACAACCCACAGGGACATCATCACACAGATCCACTGTCACAGGAGCTTCTGCATCACACCAAGCAGAAGGGACAGCATTCCAGAGGTGAAAAAAGCTGGAACTCAGAGGTTCCCTGGCAAAGGGAGAGCCACACATCCCTTTGCCCATTTGGTAACTCACTGGGTCACTGGGTGCAGTCAGGAGCCACAGCTGCACACCTGGCGCTGTCCCAGGTGCTGACTGGTTCAGCAGGCCAAGACTGGACTTGGGAGCAGAATGCAAAGACCAAGTTGTACAAGCAAAACACCATTGGATGGTGATGCACCTGACAGCAGAGTAAAGCTAGGGAGTGTGACTGTGACCAGGCATGGAGTAGAAATGGTTAGGACACTCTGGGAAGCGGCTGTGGGGGGTAGGGGCTGAGTGGCGACTACCAGGAAGGGAGCTATGCAGACATGTAGGCAGAGTCTATAGGCTGAAAGGGCAGAGATCCTGCGGCAAAGAGAGCATGGTGCTCAATGAACAGCAAGAAGGACAATGGGGTAGAGTGTGGGAGGAAACCTGAGAGCTTAAAGAGTAGACTGGCGAGGATGAGCTGACTGTCGAGACATGGGGGCTTTCAAAGCATCGGGTGGTGTTGGGAGTGGCCCGAGGCAGAGCTCGAATGGAGAATATGGAAAGAGGAGCAATTTCCCTAACAGACAAGTCTCTCATGTCTTGCCATGCTAAGACATGGCTGCTCCCAGAGTAGATCCCAGGGGCACTTTCTGAACATTGATTGCTAATGTCCAGTTCTGTCCTGGCTGTGTTGCCCTAGCCTGACCCATGTCCCACTGGATTCTCAGGACTGCCTGGAAGGGAGCCATTGTTAGGTCCATGTGACAGGCATGGAAACTGAGGCTTGGAAGGTCAAGCCATTGCCCAGGCCACACAGGTGCCTAAGGTGGGGTTGGAATCCTAGGCCAAGCTCCCTCCCCCCTCAGTCTATTCTGTCTCCTCACCACTCCGTGAGCTCTGGGCTCTCTCACTAGAGTCTCCCAGAGAACTCCAGAGCCAGGTTCAGGCTGGGACTGGGGCTGGGGCACCTGTGCTTAGGATGGGTCCCTTTGCGAATGCCGTGCCTTCCAGGCATAGAGAAGGGCTTTCTAAAGTGGCACACAAAGGATTGTGGTACCAATCCTCTCTCCACATCCTCACTGGGTCCTGTGCATCCTCCCATATTAATCTCAAGAGCTGTGGCTATGGCAGGTTTCCCTAGCCTGCTGCTTACACGGTATCTGCCGGTGGAGTGGGGGATTCCTATGGTAGCTGCCAGTGGAGTGGGAATACCTTCAGAGAAAGCCAAGGATCTGGGCAGATGGTGCTTAGAATCCAGGTTATACTAAAAGAAGCTGTGCATCCCTGAGCCGGCATCTTTACCTTTCAAACCTCGGTGTCCACATCTGGCTCTTGTTTGTTTTAAATTTATGTGTTCTTAGTATGTGAGGTGGTGGCTCCGTGCCAGAGGAGCTGGAGGTGTAGGTAGGTGTGAGGCACCCAGCATGGGTGCTGGGAATGGAAACCAGGCCCTCTCTCCAGTCACATTTGTTCGTGAGACAGGGTCTCTAGCCTAGTCTGGCCTCCAATTCTCTATGTAGCTAAGAGATACCTTGAATGCCCAAGTCTCCTGCTTCCCTAGTGCTGGTATTACAGGTGTGCACTACCCTGCCTGTGGATAGACCCCCTGGGGATGGTACATGTTGGGGGAAACGCTCTATTAACTGAGCTACACCCCCAGCCTTCCACATCTGTTAAACAGGCACAAACTCATCTGCACTCTGTCCAAGCCTGTGAAATGTACCAGTAACCAAAATCCTTTTGGCTGTAAAAGGCTGAGGAAATGCAACAAGGTAACGGAATTTACCCAGGGCAGTGTTAGTGGCGGGAGCTCCATCCCCAGGACAGAGCCCAGCAGATGGAGGACTCTGGCATGGCCACAGGCTTCACTTTGCTACGTAGCTGCTGGCATCAGTCCTGAGCTCCTGCTGCCCCTTTTTTCCTTTTGAGACAGAGTCTCAGTATATAACCCAGGCTGGCCTCCGACTCCTCCCTCCTCAGCCTCCCCAGGGCAGAGATGAAGGTATTTACCACCCTGCCCAGCAGTCTCCCTGTCTTTAAAACAGGCAGGGTACCCTGGTGATGACTCTGCACGTGTGCTAAGCACTCGCCGCAGATCCCAGGACAACAGTGATAAAGGGAACAGGGATTCTAAACTTAGGCAAGCATAGGGCTCGGATGGAACTTGCCTTGAGGGGCTAGTGACCGGCTCATTACGCATGGTAGTGCCGATTTACCTACGTGTGTCTTGAGCTCCTTAACCAGTTGCTGGCTGTTATTTCTGCGTTTGTGTTCTGTATCCTATATTTTCCCTCTCCCTTCAGTCCCTCCAGGCTCTTACCTCTCTCCTCTTCCTTTTCCTTCTCCTTCTCCCGGACAACTCTCCCCTTGAGGGCTCGGCTCCAGGCTCCTCCGTAGTCGCCCAGCTTGGCTCTCTCGCTGGTCTCCTTGCTCTTGAATGAGGGTCCGTACCTGCGTGCGATGCTGGAGGCCTCCCCCGTGTCTCGGAAGCTTCGTCCCAGGTGCAAGTCACCCAGGAAAGGCAGCTCGGCTCCTTCTGCCGGGCTCCCCGCTGCAGGGCTGGCCTGGCTCTGGGGCACAGCGGGCTGGCCCACAAAGCCCGAGTGCAAGAAGACTAAGCTCCCAGCGGTCAGGTAGAGAGCCAGGAGGGTAAAGAAGCGCACCGGCTTCCTGCGGAAATACCGGAAACACCGCTGGAACTTGAACCAGAGCTTGGCCATAGCCGGATCATTCCGGACAGGCTCAGGGCTGGCTGGGTTGGATGGCTGGGCTTGACGACTGGGAAGGGGCTTGGAGGGCGTGGCTTCCCGGGACACTTTAGGGATGCAATTCCAAGGGGGTGGTACCCAAATCCCTCGCAGAGGAGACACTAGCCAGAAAGCAAGACCAGGCTGAGCTGAGGTCAGAGGAAATGAGGGCAGAGGTTCTGGAGCCCAAAGGTCAAGCCGAGCTGCCTGGGGCCAAGAAAGGGGTCATACAAGATGCTGGCTCCTTTCCCCACATCCCACCCCAGAGCGTGGCTAAAGAACTCTGGTGACAAGGATGTGGGAGGGAGTCCAGCAGCTGCAGTCACTCTGGCCCCTTCTCAGCCCCCTTTGGGCTGATGAACCTGGTTAGTTCCCCGTGGGCGTTGACGCTGGCCTCTCCTCCAGCTCCAATGAGCAACCGAGCTGTGTGCCACCTTCTGGGCACTCGTGCTGGAAGGTCTCCATCGGCTCAAGCTTCAGGATACCAGGTTACCTCCTGCAAAACAGCAGTGGACATGGGCATGAGGGGCCCCCAAAACCCGGAGTGTAAAGAGGTTCTGGCAACCTCAAGGGGCTGTGCAGAGACCCAAGAAGGCCGGAAGTCAGCTACAACAGAAGGAAGCACCTTGAGAGATGGCTGCATGGGCTCCAGAGTTCCAGAGTCTTGCTCTACTCTCTGACACATGGGAAGTGGGGTGCTTCAATCTTAATGGGAATTGAAGCCTGGAGACAATCTTGACCTAGGTCAACCACAAGTTCTTATGCATTACTTGTATGCATCTGCCCCCTCAGAATCTACAATGTGTTAGTCCCAGAGAGGATCAAGCATCTTGGGCACAAAGGTGGGGTTTGCATAGGCTCTGTTACACTATGTTGTGGGTTTCAAATCATCTCACACGTCCTAGAACACCTAACTCAAATGTCAGTGCTCAAGAGTTGTTATAGAGTTCTTAACATAAGGGCAAAGGCGGGATCTTCTCTACATTCAGTATGGGCCCTGTGTGTGTGTGTTATGAGTGTGTAGTGTTTGTGTGTGTGGAGAGGTTGATGTTGAGTAGCTCCTCCAGTGAGATCCCATCCCCCCTTGTGTTTTGAGACAGGGTTTTTTTTTTCAATACTGAAAGCTAATCTGTCAACACCTACCTCCACCACCTGGCCAAATGTGCTCCCAGTATCTTCCTATCTCTGCCCCTGCCCCTTCCAGTGCCGAGGCTCTGAATTCAGGTCCCTATGTTTATGTGGCCAATTCTTTGCCAACCGGAGCCATCTCTCCAGCCCTAGATAACCCCCTCTTACTTGCTTCCTACCCATGGCTGGTTGAATCTGTCTGTAGAAGCTGCCAACAGGGCAGGCCCTCCCTTTCTAAACAAGCTTTGTATATATTTGTCAAACAAGCATGGATTCATGGGTTCCCTGAAGTTCAAAGAAAACCTCAGAGACTTTCTGAGCCCAAACTCATTCCTATTGCTCCCCCAATGAAGATTTAAGGAGACCAACTGTGTCCCAGCTACAGCTGAGATGCAGAGATAAGCACACCTCTCGAGGGCCTGAGCTCTAAAGCAGAAATCAGACCTATAGGCTGTCCTCTGCCTGAGGGGGCCTCCAGGAGGCCAGCCCTGCCGAGTGTCCTTCGTAGATTGTCTCATCTTTTCCCTCCTCTCTTCCAGGCGAGGGAAGTGGGGGCTTCAAGGATGAGTGGGGTAGCATTGAAATTTGAAACCATGCCTTTTTTTTGCTTGTTTGTTTTAGACAGGGTCTCATGTAGCCCAGGCTAGACTCAAACTTGCTCTGTAGCTGGGGCTAGCCCTGAACTCCTTATTCTTTCTGCTTCTACCTCCCAAGTGCTGGGATTACAGGTAAGTGCCGTCTTGCTTGGCTAAACCACAGCTTGTAACCTTTTGGACTCTGTCTCTTCCCACATATTCTGGACACTGACTGGAAATTCAGAGATAGCCACATAGCAAGGGCCAGCTACTGCAGTGACTTCCGCTGGCCAGGGCTTCTCCTAGGAGGGTATGATGAGCTCTGGGAGCTGGTGAAAATTTCTGACTTTCTAACTATCATCTCTGTTGTCACAGGTGGCCCAAGAAAGTGATCATGGGCACACAAAATTGAGAACCTCATTCCTGACAAAGGAAAAACAGGACACAGAGGAAGTGCTGGGGAGTGCTATTTCATATTAACACCAGCAGGGGGTGACAGTATGCTCTCAGCCATTGCGAGGGGGATACAACCATCCCTCACCAGTGGGAGTGAGGTTCTGGGATAGCTCCTCAGGTCACACAGTATTTCACTGAGGTTTCTGGTGGCATCTGCCACCCCACTCATTCAGAAACTCAGCACTTACTGCACCGACCACCTCCTAGGCATGCAAAATGCAAAAATCCACGCACTTGTGGCACCAAACATTCATCCGTCTGTCCATCCATCACCCTCAACCATCTACCCACCCGTTAATTTATCCACCCACCCATCCATCTTTGCATTCATCTGTCAGTCTGTTATCTTCCTTCAGCCCACCCACCCTTTCATCCCTGCACCCATCCTTCCATCCTTCCATCCTTCCATCCACTCAGCCAGCTCTTCCTCTTCTTCCATTCACATAAAACAGGCCCGGGAGATGGCTCAATGGGTAACGGCGATTGCCACCAAACCTGACAACTCAAGTTCAATCCCCAGGAACCCACATGATGGAAAGAGAGGATGGACTCCTGAAAGCTGTCCACTGACCTCCACATGCATGCTGTGTCATGATCCTACACTTATGCACACACAAGCACACACACAAACACACACACACTAAATAAATGTGATTTCAAACATTTAAAATATGTTCATCCTGTCTGTTTGTGATAAGAATACAAGAATAAATAATTTATTATTTCCCTGTTTTCAGGAAAAATTTAATCAGTCAAGGAAGAAAACAAGCAATTCCACAGAGGAAGGATAAGTATCTCATGATACAGAACATGATATTAACCGTGTTCAATAAGCGTTTATATGTGCCACTCCACACATGCACACTCACACATGCACATACATGCACACTCATATACATATTCACACACAATGCACTCTCACACACATGCACACTCACATACAAGCACAGACATGCACACACACTCACATGCACACTCACATACAAGCACAGACATGCACACACACTCACATGCACACTCACATACAAGCACAGACATGCACGCACACACACCCACATGCACACTCAAATAATGCACACATGCACGCTTACATTCACACTCATACACTCCGATTTAATTCTCACGACGATTTCCTTAAGTTCTGTGTCATCTTATGGAGCTGAGAACTGAGTATCAGAGAGGTTAATTAACTCATTCTGAGACACACGGCTGGTAAATGGAAGATGGGCTATGAGGACCCTAGGACTTCAGGAACAGCCTCTTGCTTTGGCATGAGGAGTCCAAGCACATGGGCAGAGAAAGCCCTTGCACTGAGGTATTAGATTTGGGCTTAAAATGTCAGAGATCTGGGGACCCCGCTGACTCTGGACTCTGGGAAGCTGTAGCCGTGGGGCTTTGTGGGGAGAGAGATCAAAGAGTGCTTCCCCAGGAGCAGCCTTCTACACAGCTGAGGAAGAGCCAAGCCAGGAGGCAGAAAAACAGACAGAGCCAGACCTCAAGGATCCTGAGTGCCACAGCCCTGCTGACAGCACAGAACTCACTGAGGTTTCATGATCAATACATTTTAGCCTTTTAATTTCTTTTTAAAATTTTTGAGGCAGTGTCTCCATGTAACCCAGATTGCCCCAAACTCACCATGCAGCCAAACATGACCTTGAACTCCCGATCTTCCTGCCTTCCCCTCTCAAGTGCCGGGGCTGTAGGTGTGCGCCACACACCTGGTTTAAGGACTGATGGTGAGGTAACTGAACCCAGGGCTGCCTGCCTCAGCCAAGCTGTGTCCTGAGCTCACGGCACACTTTAGGAATGCCATCTTGAAGCCAGGGCCTTGTGGGAGCCCACAAACTTCACACTCCCGTGTCATGGAGAGAGGGAGTCAGGAGTCACCCTGGTACTTTGAGGTACCGCTCAGCTCTGTGGATCATGGATCTTTAGTGTGGGCCCTGGACCGCTGACCACCTGGATTCATACTGACTGGAGAGAAGCCGTTTGCACCAGCCGTGGGTTACCCAACTCTCCATCCCCTGCTCACACTGTTGGAGGACTGAATGAAACCGTAGGAAGGCAATGGAAATGCTGAAGGCTGCCCCACTCATCCGCCTTCCCCAGGCTCATGTGAGCAACAGGGAAGCCATTTCCCACATCAGTGAGGGACATGCTGTTTCTAAGGCTGGCTCCTTGGTTGTTCCCTCGGTGTCCTTTATATTACCACACATCTTTCCTCTAAGTGGTTGCCAAGTGGGCGTTTGGGGACATTGAGCTCATTAGCAGCTGGCAGGAGGCAGAAAGAGACAGGCATGGTGAGGGCAGGGGACCGAAGGAAGAGGGACAGAGAGCAGGGGCTGTGCCACCCCACCTTCAGCAGGAAGGTGCAAATGTGACCTTCCTACCCACACCCTCTTGCCAGCACTAGGAGGGAGAGCACCCTGGAGTCTGAGCCCCACACACCACGCCTTTGCCCCTGTGCCGGATGTACAGTAGACCCCAGGAACAGCCGTGGGTGTTGGGGGGTGAAGACAAGAAGGGACTGCTGTTCACCCCAGGGCTTCGTATGAAAGGCTGATGTGCTCAGGTAATAGCTGTGTGTGCGGCATGTGTGGTGTATGTGTGTGTGGTGTGTGTGTGTTTGTGATGTGTGTGTATGTGTGTATATGTGTGTGTATGTTGTGTGTGTGGTGTGTATGTGTGTGTGTGAATTTGGGTCTCTGAGGGAGCAGTGTTATTTGTCACTGGGTGAGTCTAGGTAGAGAAGCCAGTCTGAGTCACAGCACCCCGTCCTCAGAGGAACCTAAATATTTCCGCCTCCTGGAACTGCCAGTCCTCCCCCACTCTCATTCCCTCTTCCTCCCTCACACAGACAGAAATCCCCCTCCAAAGCAGACAGGAAAATTAGCTAGCCTTCACGGGCTGATCACCTACTTTATTCCAGGTGCTGTCAAAGGCCTCACAAACAGGCCCCGAGTATTCCTCTCTCTCCACAGCCTTGGAGGCTCCCAAGCTCACAGACTGTGCGTCCACAGGCCCTGCATTGCCTCCAGCAAGCCCTGCCCTCCTTCATCTCCAATCGCCCTACCGCACCACACCAACGTCCCCCTTTGGCAGTTACAGTGTCTAAATCTCCCTGGGCTGCATTTCTCTCTCTGGAAGGTGAGTCAGTCACAGAGAGAGTGCATGGGGCTGGGGTTGGCTCTCACTGAGGGCGGGCTCTCATGCTCCCCCCACCCCCTTCAATGCATTGGACCCCTGATCTTCCTGCTTCCTTTCCTGGGTGCTGGATTACAGGTGTGCCCCATCACGCTCAGCTTTCTCCCGTCTTTCCTAGGAACCGTGTAACACTGAGATAGAAGTGCAGAGAAACTGAGAATCTTGATTTTCTTCATCGTTTACCCAAAACTTCAAATAAATAAGTTTCCCTTCGCCAGTTTCTGTTTCACAGTTGCTTTAGAAACCAGGGAAACTGAGGCAGCAGCCTAAATCTAACATTCTCCTCCATCTGATCCAACCACCGTTACTGGGGAAACTAGGGAGTCCCTGGGCCATGTGTTACCAGGGAAACCAGGCCCTCTCGGATTCTTAGTCTTGCTAATGAAATAATTTTAAAACAGACTCAAAAGGAAGCCCAAGGACAGTTGTAGTAGTGTCTGAGAGAAAAGCAGCAGGGGAGGCAAGCTGTCAATTTTGGCAGCTGCCTGGAGGAGGGGATGGGAAAGAGGAAGGGAGAGAGAGCCCCATCCTGTTAAGTTAGGGCCCAAGAGAGCCAGCAGGCCCAGTAATGGAGCACAGACATCACATAGCAGAAGAGAGGTGGGTACAGCTTCAGAGAAAGAGAAAGCCCAGCATGTCCAGGAACGAAGGCCGGGGCTCTTGGCCAGTAGCCGAAAGGTAGAAAGGGAAAACAAGAAGTCTCACTTTTCTGAGTTAGGGTGCCACGGGGTAGAAGCCTTGCATCTGCAAGCATCCCTACTGCAGGAGGGCCTTCTGGGACAGAGAAGTACATGACATCATTAGGGGATAATTGTTTCTCCCCGCTACGGCTCAGAGTCCGTGGGGCCTCCCAGCGTGCTAACTACCTGACACTGTGATCCTCAGGACTGGCCCACAGGAGCCAAAATCCGATGCACCTCCAGACAAAAGTGCTGTCTAGCAATGATGAGGTGTAAGTGCCCTATGCTATCCAGCGAAGGAGCCAATCAGAGAAGAACGCACACCGAACAATTCCAACATGAGCTATTCTGGAAAAGACAGCAATAGGAAGGGTGTTGCCTGCAGCTTGGGGCAGAGGGGAATGAGCTGGTGCAGCTCAGGATTTCTGGGGCAATGACTCAATCCTGCCGATACTGTTGATACTGTAATGGCACCTACATGTCACGCTATGTCCAGAACCATAGAACATACAACACTGAGCATAGCCATGAAGCCTGTGACATTCAGAGTGGCCTCTGAGCCTGTGAAGGTAGCATATGCAGAGGGCCACAGGCTTGAGCCCCACTGGTGTTGACAGTGTGGGCAGGGGGTACGGGGGTCTGAACCCCACTGGTGCTGACAGCATGGGCAGCGGGTACTGTGCCTTCCGGCTAACTACTGCTTCAGCAAATCGGATCATCTGCCCATTAAGCTAACCATGGTTGGCAGTAATTCACTACACATTTCAAATAGCTAGGAGAGCAGGTTCCAATGTTCTAACACAAGGAAGTGACACATGTCCCAAGAGATAGATGGGCTGGCCCCTCCAATCATCTCATCACACATCTCACACACGGACTGAAACATCACCTTGTGTCCTGTAACACACACCATTATCTTAGCTGCAGTAAAAGGTGTTTGTGATGGCTTATGTGTTTGTTTCCAGGAAAGGGTGGTCACATGCTTGCCAACTCTGTGCTGGGAAAGTAAGGGAAGCCGAAGGAAGGGAGGAATGGGGAGAACAAGGCAGGAAGCTGTATCCTGTCCGGTGGTTCTGGTGACCCGGCTGAGGCCCCGTCCCCATCTGTGGTCCTCTCTACCAGGCAGCTGGCTGCCTTCTGCGGCCCAGATCATTCTCTTCCCCAAGAGAGAGACTTATAAAGCAGGGCCCTGGGCCCTATCATTAAGCCATCTGGAGTCATCGCTCCCCTGTAGGCGCTGCTGTGTCTCGGGTCAATTAGTCCTCATTTGCATAGACATCCTTAATAGGCTGCTAATTGTCAGGGGAATAATGGATGGTTCTGTTCATGGGCAGAATGTTTATCCAGGGGACAGACCCATGGGGGGTGGCAGAGCAGGGAGAAAGGGAAAGGAGGGGACCTGGAGGCCAGAGACAGCAGGAAGGGAAGGATGGAGTCAGCTCTGCTTGCTGGAGTCTGAGTGTCCCTGTGCTCAAGTGTGCTTCCAGTGCCCTGGGGAAAGCCACATGGGCTCAGAAGGACCCTTGGGGAGGTCTGTAGGCTGAGACCTCCAGAGAAGGTCCCCAGCAGGCAGACAGCATACAGCAAGTACTGAGTGGATACTCGAACAAGTGTGGGTCCCTTCTGCAGGGGCTGCACCTCAAACTGTCCCCGAACTTGTGGACAACTCTGCCCATGCTTCCTAAGGTAGGCCACACAGGGTGGAGGAGAAAGGTCTAAGGTCCCTTCAGGGGCAGGATTATGCCAAGCCTTAGCTGCCCTGCATGGAGCCAGGATGCATATTCCCTTCTTGGTAGGGCTCAGATCTGTGACCACAAAGCCTGGGACATTCAGTGTGGCCTTTTGAAGAATACCTCCATTGACCCATGTCAGTAAAGACAGCTGGCCGGGATACTCTGAAGAGGGGTCTAAGGGCCATCGAGGAACATCACTTTGCTTGCAGAGATCACACCACCCTCTAGTTAGCGGCAGCTTCTCTGGAGTAAGGAACACGGAGCTGGATCACTCAGCAAAGTGGCGTTCTCTAACAGAAGGGGAACCCAAGGCTTAGGGAATCAAGAACTAAACAACCTCTGTCCCTTCCTTTGAGATGGCTGACACAGGCTGGGACAGGACAAGTGTTCAATGATGTCATCTCTTGTCATCGCTGTCCCAGAGGGCAGGGTACTCTTAGGTTCCAGCTAGGATGGGCAGGATGGTTGGAGGACTCAGAGAACCTAACAGAGTGACCCACAGTCACATAGCCAGGCCAGTCCCAAGCTAACTCCAGAAACTGCCACCCTGTGAAAACACAGCTCTTGGTCAGCTCCTTCTAGCCACAACCACCAGCAAAGTGCCACTTGTTGCCACACCCCGTTAGACTCTAATTTGGGAACAGTGGCTACTTCCATTAGAAACCCTTCCCCGGAGAGGAATTTTCCACTCAGGATCATTCTGGACCAGTCTTGTGTCCCCACCAGGGAGTGTGTACCGGGAAAGGCATTTCTGATCCCCCAGTAGCTCCTCAAGGCCAGGTTCTCTTCCTCAGCAGCACCAGCTCAGAGCAAGACTCAGGGACAAAATCCCAGCCCACCTGCACTAGAGAGAGGGCCCTGATTCCCCAGGTCAGTGGGGGAAACTGAGGCCAGGAGGGGGAGGGGAGGGCATCTGTGGTCACACAGTATGTCCTCTAAGGCCTCTTGTTGGCCTTAAGCCTTGCACCCCCAGGAAGGAAGTATAGCAAACCGTGCCCACAGCAGCTCTTCTGCAGTTTGGACCTTCATCTCTCCAATCATGGCCTCTCAGGGGTCTCCATGGTGGTTTTATGCTCCCTTGATAGATGACAACGCTAGTCTACTTGATGGAGGCGGAGCCAGTAAGCAGCAAGCTGCCTCTCACACCCAGGTTTGCCCTTCTCCAGAACCTTCTGCCCAGTGCTGACCCGGGGCCTCCAGTCTGAGGGAGGAGCGTGGTGCCTCAGACTCGGGGCCTTTCTCCGTCATGCATTAAGAGCCCATGAAGGGAATGAGGACTTCCCAGAAGGTATAGAGGCCCGTGGACATCTTCATCATAACCTTCAGTGGCTGGAAGGGCTCTGGGATTCCTAGGGGAAAGGTGTCTCCTTCAGCATCTCCCCCCTCCCCATGACAACCCCAGGCAGAAAGAGAACATCCAAGGGCTCCTCTGTCAATCACCTTAGACACATGGTACACTCCATGCCTGCCCTTCACCCAACCCAGCACAGAACTACACCACTCTAAACTGGATTGTCACCTCCTCATTGCCAGCACAGACAGGGGGTCCTAAACCCCATTTCACATACGAGGAGCCGCGGCTGCTGCCATTTGCCCCAGAAACCTGGTTTGTGCTGGAAGCCTCAAACTAGATTGCTCTTGGGAGCTGAAAGCAAAACGCCAGCTGCAGCCTGAAGCCCCCAGGCCAGGTTCCTGCTCTTCTGAGGCAGCTGGTGCAGACCTGAGCTGTTCTGAGCACCAGAGGGTGTCATCCACACCCTGGCCGGCACCAAGCAGCATTGTTTCGCTCCCCAGGCACAGTGACCTGACCTGGAGAACCAGCCTGGGTTCAATGCACACAGCTTGTAGCTCAGATTTCACCTCGGGTTTTATGCAGCCTGCGATCACTGACTCTATCTTGGGGTTCGATGCTAGGGTCCCTATTTGTGGGACCTTGTACTAAGGTGACCAGGGTCTACCGACTGGCAGTAGGCTCTCTGATTGGGACTTTCAGATTCTGGCTCCTTGTGTGTGGAGGGCAAAGCTCCCCGGGAGACGGTCACACCTCAGTGCCTTCCAGGGACTGGGGAGAAAGACACACCCATGAATTATATATTTCCAGCCATCTCCAAATTGCTCAGCAATTACAGAACACCACAAGAAGCCACAGGGAGCAGGAGCCTCCCTGAGGGTTGAGATGCAGCTGGACAGAAGGGAACCTCACCAGCTCGCCTGGGTTAGGAGTGAATTTGTGGGTGTGTTTTTCTTTTCCACACCAAGTTGTGCTTTGAAAATCACAGGGAGGGGAACTGTGTGAGAGCGGTTCTTCAAAAAATGGTTTGGTATAATTTATTTACTTAGTGTATATGTATGTGTCACAGCGCACACAGATGTGGAGGTCCAAGGACACCTCGAGGGAGTCGGTCCTCCTCTTCCATCATGTGGGTTCTGGGGATCAAAGTCGGGTCTTCAGGGTTGAGTGTGAGCTTTGCTGCCAGTTAGAACGGAGTTTGAATCTTGGCTCTGACATTCGGCAGCACAAAGAACATGGGGGTTGTTTAAGGAATTAGGGCTGCAGGGTCTCATGTGTGTAATATGGAATGAGAATACTGGTCCCACCCCACCAGCCTGGTCATTGAGAGAGTTAGTGTCACGTCTGCTGCGCGGCCTGTGTCCGAGAACGGGTGCAAAATGCTTAGCAGGGGCCAGGCACATTAAGGTGGCGGGTACTTGAGTACTATGCAGGAAGTAGCCTAGACAGCAGAAAGGCAAGACAGCAGCAAGAACTCTTGTCTCTCCGAGCCTCCATTTTCCAAGCTT